GTGCTTGTGACCAAGGCAAGGAGGGGAAGACCAGATGCTGTGAAAACACAAGGGAAAGTCAAAGAACAGAGTTTTTGCTGTTGTGTTGTTTACAGTGAGTTCATCAGTTGAATGTTTCTTCATAGCTTTATGTCTGAAGGGGTTGTCTTTCCTTCATCCTCCTCCTGCTTCACAGTTAATTGACTACAAGTGTTCCTTTTCCTGCAAAGAGCAGTCATTAAGGGTGAATAACAAAATTTAGTCTGGCAATAGAACAGCTAGAGATCAATGGGTTAATTCAATTGCCCCTGCATGTGGTATACTGTATAGCAGGAGTACTGGACAGGACTCGTGCAGTTTTAGTGTACTTAAAAGTGCAAAGAGATAGCAGGGGTATTGGTCAATAAATAGAAGAGAACAACACTGAAGGCAATGGCATTAAAAAGGGCCAAAGCTCAGTGCTGTGTGTATAGTAACAACTAAACAGTCAGTTAAATGTGGATGACTGAAAAGGCAGTCTTTCCCTTACAGTCAATCACTAACACAATGGGACTGATAACTCAGAAGAATGTCATCTGTTTCTTCTAGAGTGAATTATTTGCACTACTTTGATAATGTGATTTAATTTGTATTATTCTGGCAACACCAACAACTGCTATTATCAACATCCATGTCATCCTGTCAATATAATACAAAAATGCTCACTTTGCATCACACAAGGAGTGGCAACGCATTGTAAAACTTTTTAAATTTAACTCAATTTTCTAAAGAAGCAGCAGGACCACACTCATATTTGTCCAGTTCAAGTTGAAAAAAAAAAAATCATGTACTATAAAGATAATGTGCAGTCCATGGTGACCCAGCCTATTTTACACACTCCATATGATGCAGGGTGTTTTTGACTTTATCTGACTGCTGTGGGTCCTTTTCAGAGACTGTAACCATGTGACCATTATCATTTTATTTGAGATTATAGGTAAACTATTACTGCCATTTATAATGTCTCTTTATCATGTTTTGTGGGTGTGGTAGAGGCTTTTAACAAGAGTGACTCTCTAATTAGCCAACAGGGTTTTGTAACAGTTACCCAGTTAGGAGGCTCAGTGTCACATCTTTCAATGGAGGAAAGCATTTCTAGCTGCGTCTCTGCTCTGACCCTTTGAAATGATTCTTTTGGTTATGTTTATCTCTTGCTAAGTGAATGAGAATCTTGTATCCATTGCAAGTACGTCACTGTTTCTGTTTACTGAGCACTTATTACTACAGCAGACAAATACAAATAAAAATCATTTTATTAAGTTAGTTACACCGTTGTGTTTCAATAAAAGGTGAGTTCTTTTTTATTAAGCCTAGGAAAATTGAATTTACTGGCCTTAGTTCATGCTGGCTTTATCCTCCACTGGAATGAATTGACACTTCAGCATGTTTAAAGAAGCGTTTGCACAATCTATCCTGAACAAACAGACTGAATCAATACAAAATTACAGGATATTTGCTTGACTGTTGAAAAGATCATTCTTCTGCCCTACATGTTGAGCATTTTATTGCCTTTGCATTAGAGGGGGCACTTATCAGCTGACAGATAACAGACAATGAGCTCAATGCTGACATAATTCATAAGACCTGGTTAGCTGAAAGGATTGTCAAACAAAGGCTTCTGTAGGCAAACACCCTCTTCAGTTGAGGATAACTGCAGGCTAAAGCTGGGAGAAGCTCTAGGGAAAAAAAACCTTAAGAACAAAGAAAGTGTTGCATTTGAACCAAGTTGACCACGCCTGGTTTCCTTCTGACAGTTAGAGGGTGTGTACCCATAACATTTACACTTTCATTGCAAAGATAGATTTAACCTCTGAGGGTTTAACGAGGAATGCTTTAAAAATGTCTTAAAAGTTCTCTGTGGTGCTATTTTTGTGTCCCTCCTTACACAACAGAGGTTGGTTCCTTCCAGGGGTATTATGAGATCTAGTGCATGTCTTTACACTGCAGGTGGCTTCTTGTAACTTCACAAACAGTTGCATTCACATCCTGGAAAAAAAATGCAAATACTACTGTACCTGTTTAACCAGTAACCACTCTGAGCTATCTAGCAAAATGAAATGTAATAGAGCCTCAGTGCATGTGTATGCGCGTGCATCTGTATGTGTGTTTGCATGCATATTTGTGTTTGTGTGTATGTGTGTTAGCCCTCTTTAATCTACGTCACAATTCTCTCGATGACTCTTCCACTTCGCATATCAAAGGAGGTTCAAACTAATTAGCTCAGGGTGCCGTTTGTCTGTTGGTCTCAGTCCCATAACAACAGCAGGTGACTGTTCCAACATCTAAATCCTCTAAAAAACCAGGACAGTCAATTTATATAGTATACTCCATAATGTCCTCACCTCTACACGGTACATAAAATATTTAAAAAAAGAGACAATAACACATAACGTCTGTCATGTTGTGCATAGTGGCAAATATTTTGTGTAACATCATATTCCCTTATGTCATGAAGAACCACAAAATGTATTTTTTTTTTATCATTATACAACAGCAACTTGTGTGTGAGAGAGCAAACAGGAGAAAGAGCCCTGACATGTTTCTAACAAATATTCAAAATGTATTATTCATTGTATGTGTGTGACAGGGAGAAAGGGAGACAAAGAGGGATTATTCTGAATCTAGTATATACTTATAGCAAGGAAGTCCAGTTCAGTGATTTAACAGTGTTTCTACCTTTTTCACCTTTATACCGGCCGTGTACAAAAGTGTCAGCACCTGTGTTCCCGCTCCAGAATCCAAATGGTTGTAATGAGAACAAAGAAAATGGAGCGAGAACAACAGAGACAAGAGGACAGACTGAATGAAGAGCAGCATACAGACAAGGGTTGTCACTAATAGAGAGTTTTATGAGCTCCAGAGCTGCTGAAATGGAGTGTTGTGCAAGTGCAGGAGCTCTTATCTTGCTGCTGCTGCTGCTGCTGCTTGTTGGCAGTAGGGGAGGGTGAGAGCTTCCACACTTGCGCTCTGTAAAAATGGTCTGATTCATTTTCTGCATGAGAGGGTCTCACTGGGGTGGCATCAGACCAGCCAGTCCACACAGATTTATAGACCATTAAAGCAGCAGGCCCCCTGACCACTATGCCACCATAGGCTGGCTGCTAAGACACACTGCACCCTCATTCATGCTTGTTCACTACTCTCCATCACAGAGTAGGCTTTCTCATTGTTCGTCCCTCCATCAACACCACTTTTACTGCCTTATATTAACTCCTGTAATCCTGCTATTCTTTGCCTCACTCCCCTTTAAAGAAAGTGATATACTTACTATAATTATTCTCACTCATCATCACAAAAGGATAATTCCTCATCTCTCATCTCATCCCTCACACCGAGCAACACAGCCTGTTATATGGGCCAGGAAATGCTCCGGTGCCATTATAAACATCTCTGATGGCGGTCAGTGGAGCATGTTGTTTTAGCCTAACAGTTTTACAATCAGATTAGCACCATTGCAGGCACACAGACTAATGGGTCTGTCTTTTCAAGGCATCCTCAATCAACTGTTTCCCTGGTGATTAATGCATCTTGTTCTTTCCTCTCTCATTTGCTAGCTTTGCACCTTCATCATCCTTACAAGTGACACTGGAAGGGAAAATGGGGCAGAGTCAATGTTGCTTGCTGGCCCTGAGAATAGCTCAGTGTGTAATAAAAAAAAAACATCTCAGCAACCTGAACCAAGGCTCAAAAACATGAATGAATGAGTGAATGAATATAATGGTATCCAGAGTGCTGTGCCGTGCCACCAATGTTGAAGCACTTCTTTGTTGGATAAATTTGTATTACCACATTTAATGCAATTCTTCACCTTCTGTGTAGGCATGAATGTGTTTCAATTCACAGTATCCCATAGCAAGGTGATACAGCTAAACAAGTGACTCACTGAAGTAAACTTATATTAGTAAAAGTACCAAGAGACAGACCAACAAGTCAGGTATTCACCCTGACACAAAACTGTCATCATGCCATTGAAAAGCCTGTTGGTCCAGTTGCAAGAAAGAGAAAAACAAGGGTGTGCATCAGCACCATTGCAAAGTATTTACAACACTGTTGCATGACAGGCACTTGTGTTTATACACACAGTAGAAGCAAACAAGAGAGGCTATTAGATCAGTCCACAGAGGGCTACTTTTGTACGCTTATGAAATGGAGTGGCTGCAATGAGTAAAGTATCACTATTATGTGAAAGTTACAGTTTGGTGTGAAGTCAGTTGCCCAGTAAAGGTGCACTCAATGAATAGCCTGGAAAAGACACAAAACCAACCTGTTGGCTTTTCTATTGCACACCTTTGGCTATACAATCACATCCATAAAGGTATTTATCCTAAATAACAGTTAGGTGTGCAATTTTGACTTATCACACATTCTGTGCGTGCATACACAGGGAATACGTTTTATCAGGTGGAACAGAACAGGCACATAGTTGTGCTTTTCTTTTTACTCCAGTTTGTTTGTTTTGTCAAAACGGTCAGACATCTCTCAGCATGTATCTGTTGTATAGGCCTATCTACAGGTCATATTTTTACATGCTTGAAAGAATAAATAAATAAATCAAATAATAAATCAAATGTTGACGCATGGTGTCATCGTTTACTCTGGGAGGGGCCCTGTTGGAGGTCCACCGCCGTCACGAGGCAGGGTGTGGTGACAAATCCTTTCTCTCAGCCTCAAGGTGTTTGTGTAGCCTGTACGGGTCTGTTTGTGTGGGACCCGTCTGGCTTGATCACTCGCACACTTATTTAATTTATTACTCATCCCATGACTATTTTACTGTCAATGATATCTCATTATTCAACAAATCTATTTAAAACACAACAAAACCCATCTCCCTCACCTATATTACGTTACAGCCAGCTGGCATAAAAGGGAAATCACATTGCGCGATGCAAAATAGGATGGCGTGCTCGTTCACGGGGCTCCTGCGCTGCGGCAGTTGCCAGGGGAGATAGGAAGGGAGGGGTTTTGATTGGCTGAAGTAGGCCGGTTGCCATGACGACGGCAAGGGGTTTGGTAGCGTTGCCGTGCGCTGTGTGATCTGCGCGCTGCGTGTATGGAGGAAGCAGCTGCTGATCTGATCTCTGACATTGTGTGAGACAGACATCTGAATAAACTGCGCACAGACGTGTCTTTAAACACACCGTAGCGAGGCAAGCAGCGCATGATTGTGAGTATTTAATCGTTTTTGAAGTTTACCGCAATTGAATAGTGTTTGACAGGATACGGTTTGTGTTTCGAACAAGCTAAAAGTAAATGTGGTCAAGTGACTCTGCTTAGAGCAGCCAGCATGGCAGAACAAGCGACAGCATGTGGTCAGCTAGCTAATGTTAACATTACTTCTGTCTGTTCTCGGAGCTCGAAGCCTGGAGAGTGGAGTGGGATATTTATAGCAGCGAAGGATGGTTATTGTTCGAAACAGAATTACTACAATAGTCTAGATATTTACAAATGTTATGCTAACGCTAGCAGTAGATTCACGTCCATTGGCCATCGAGCGGCTGCTAACACTACTTTGCCTCACGGTGGTACTTGGTAAGTCAACGCTGGTAACGTTATACATAGTAAACTTACTGCCATTAAAGCTAAACAAAACGTAATTAACTAAGCACAGATACGTTACATCGTAGCTCTTCCCGTGTGTCGGGTAATGTTGTGCAACAGTCCACGTCACTGCGTGTAACTTTGTGTTTCCTCTTTGTGTTACTGGTTGTGACTGCTTGTGAGTTAACGTTACTTCTGAGTGCGTAGTTATTAATACTACACCATATCTAACATTAGAAGCATATTAGTTTTGCTAATAGCACTTTCATTTGTTCCCCACTCGCTTGGACTTAGTTCGAAATGTCTTTTCTTATCGGTTATCGTATACTTTATAAAGTTGTAGCTTTGCTGACATTAAATAATTTGTGTTGGTGTAGGTTCCACTCATATCTATAAATAGTTAAATATGTCATTGGTGCCAGAGGTTTTGTGTACTACACTGGCTAGCTAAGCACATGGTGGATTATCATAGGATCGTCCCAGATATCGAGTGCTTTCCAAACAATGTCAGAGTGTATGGAAAATTATCTCTATTTAACCCAGATATACTTTACATGGTGTTATTGAGTAGGTCTTCATGGACTTAATGTTATTCCACGTAGCTGGTGTTGTCTGCCCTTGTAGTCTCTCTGTCTGCTGATTGCCAGTGATGTATTTACTGGACAAACCTCATGTAAAATTTATTGTGTGCTCTGATGTTTCTGAGTATATTTGGAAAAAAAAGTGGTGGCACATTTTTTTCCCCTGTTATGAGGTTATGACATTAATATAGACTGACGCTGTTCCTTTTTTGTTGCTTGACAGTGTTACACAAAGGCATCAGGAGCTTAATGGACAGATAAAAGACAAAAGGGAACATTGGCAGTCTCACATTATGTTATTCTCACAAGGTCTGTGGTCATATTGTAGATCAACCCATGTGTTGTCTTTGCTGTTGTTGTCTGAGCATGTACCCACTCCTGTAGATGTTTGTAGGTACAGACACAACTGAGGGGTAAGTAGTTTTGGCTCCCAGAATAGACGAGGGTCCGCTAACTTTACTGACATTCATTACTATAAATAAGACTTGTTGTAACCCAGTGATACAGTTATTGCTGACGTGAAATGGCTTTAATAACTACAGGGATTTGAAATATTGTCAGTAGAGTTGAATTATTTTTAGCTGTGCACCATCATAATGGTATTACAGATGATGCAATCAGACTTTAAGACACCGTAGTTTCCATAGGTGGCATTACTCCATGGTTTGGGGTTCTTCTCAGTCACATGTATAATATGTGCAAACTGCCCTGCCTTTGTCTGCTCTTTCATAGGTTCATAGTGCACAGTGTTTGAAAAGGTAATTTGAGAGTCATATGCGTTTACTTTACTTGAAACTGAAAGCTACAACTAGCCAAAGTGACAATTGCTTACATGAGTCATTGTATAGTTAGGTGTTTTTGTCATATTATCTTGAAGGAAATCATGGGTGTTGGCCTGATTTGTAAGTTTGATTAATTGAACAAAATCAAAGCCAAGACCTTTTTGGTTCTTTTTTTTTTTTTTTTTTTTCCCAAAAGTCACATTCTTCAGTATATTGAATAATATATATTGGGTATATTGCCTATAGAGGTTTCATTTTATATCACTGAGATATTTTGCACCAACCCAGCACAGTAGTGAACACAGTTCTAACAAGTATATCTCAAGCTCCTCTAACTCTCAAGAATGTCACCCTCCATTTTTAAAACTTGGTAAAACAGTGTCACTTTTCTGAGATGTTATTCTATTGTACAGAACAGGAAGATGTTCCTCAGAGGATTTATGATGAACAATGAAGCAACGTGACAAAAGAGACCACAACAGCGAGACATTTTTATCAAGTGAATTTCTACATTTTAAATTTAGTGAGCTGCATTTTCCTCTTCATTCATCAAAACATCCTGAATATATTGTAAAGAACATTTAAATAAGGAAATTTCACAGTACTGAAATGCAGCTACTGTAGCTGTTACCCCCCTATCCAAGCAAGAGTGGCACAGAGTCTGCATTTCAAAATGGTGGTGTTGCCATGTAATCAGTCTTATCACAGAACTGTGTACTCTGACCCAGAGTAAAGGAAAGGTTGCGTCCTCTAAAATTCACTCAGTTTTTTTGTATGCGTGTAAACAACTGTTTTAAATCCATTACCAAAGCTGAGCCATTTGGCAAAAACCTTTGGGATTGTTTAACAGAGTCTAAATCTGGTTTGTCATGAACTGGCTGCTTGAAAAGCTCAAAGCTTGACAACACACAGGTCTCAGAAAACCCTTTAGCTACAAGTCATTTGTGACTTTGATTGTACTGACTGTTTTAGTTGGATTGGGGTAGCCACTGATGTTGCAATTGAAGAGGCTGAATAATTCAGTGATTGGCAGAATAAGGAAGTAGATGGTCTTTGCATACTTGAAGTGACTGTTTTCCCATAATTATGTTGTTGCGTGCCTACTGTAGTGTTTAAAATACTTTAAAATAAACTTACTGCATGTAATGTAAAGGAAGTGAGAGTAGGCGAGCATTGCTACTTTGGTGTAGGCTTAAGTAGTGCTTTTTCTAAACATCTGAAGAAAGTCTTAGAGTAGATTTTCTAAAGAATGGGGTAATCTCCTACCTCCCATTATGAGGGCCTAAACTAAACAGTCGTATACAGTATCTCTCTGAGTTCAGTCACTAATCAGTGAGCTCTAGCTCTGACTGCTGATGTTGACTTGTCTGCCTTGTGGAGTTGACTGCCTCATGCAGTGAAACGTTGGTTTCATCTCCTGCTTGCAGCCCCTGTGTGTTTTTGAAGGGAAGACATCCCCAGGAGCGTGTCGTCTTCTGTTGTCTCAGGTCTGTGACATTCTGCTAATCAAACAAAGGTAGCTATTCTGAATTTTAGATGTAAATGTAAACATCTGTTGTCATGTTAAGAGCACCTTTATCCTTTGTTTCCCATACATTTTATTTTCCTGTTTCAAATGACCAACTTTTCTGTTTCTGTGATATTTTGAATCAGTTAGCATCTCCTGAGAGATGAGGGTAAAGCTAAATGGCATCTATTTTTACCCCAAAAAGCTTTCCATTTAACAGCTGTTCCTATTTTACTATCTGGAGGTCAATGTATTGTAGTTAATGCCATGACATTAACTAAAAGACAGAACATGTTGCGATTTGGTTCAGCAAATCTATAAATACACAGCGGGAATATGAATGTTTTGAGTGTGAACTTTAGTTTTTCCTCTTTAAGCTGCTTTTGTTTGCTTGTGTGTAAGTTGCATATAGGCAGTGTAGTGTCCCTCCATCTTTCACAGTTATTGTTTAACATCTCTTGATTGGTTACAGTGGTAATGAAGTGCCCTCCCTAATGTCCCTGTCACATCTGATGGGGTGGACTCGAGATGCAGCCCGTTAGGACTTGCCTCATTGAAAGCAACACTGATGTGACCTATTTACTTGACTGAGAGAAAGGAAGAGGGAATAACAACTGTGTCCATTTTCACAGTGGGTCTTTGTCTTGTCACCTCTGGCTGAATTAATAGGATTTATTTAATTGATGGCAGTATGACAGTAACGTCACAGGCTGACCAGCTTGTGTGCAAATGTTCAGGATCTTCTTGGATGTTTGGAGCTGAATGGGGATTATATTGTCTGTTTACCATAATTTAGGAAGTAGCTCCAACCCAGGTTGAGTGTTCAGCTGTACTATCACTAGAACAACAAGGTCTGGTTAGGTGTTTGGCTGCAGTGAAATGTACCATATATACTAAAAATGTCCGCACACTGACAGAACAACAGATGCTTTTCAGATGCCAAAAAAGTAAATTTATTGTATGTTACAAGTGAAAAAATGTAAATTAAATGTGAATAAAAAATTTAAAGTTTTGGTCAGAAGACCAGTGTCTGGACAGCTGTCAATGTAAACATAAAACCAGTGGTGGAAGAAGTACCCAGGTGCCTTACTTATATAAAAGTAGCAATACAACAGTGTAAAAATACTCTGTTACCAGTAAAAGTTCTCCATTCAAAATGTTATTTAAGTAAAAGTACAAAAGTATTAGCAATAAAACATGCTTAAAAAACTAATTGTAAAGGTACTCCTTATGCAGAATGACATATTTAACATTGATGTATATCATATTATTGGATTATAATTACTGTTGCAATATTGTGTACACCACATTTAATGTTGCAGCTGGTAGTTTCAGCTACCTTAATACATGCCTTTAATTTTAACTACTGCTGGCTAGCTTGTAAATATCCCTCCAGGGATCAATAAAGTTTTATAAGTTTATTGTATTTTTTTTGTATTAATATGATTATGAAAACAAACTAGTAATGAAAGTCATAAAATAAATGTAGTGGAGTAAAATGTACAATATTTGCTTCAAAATGTAGTGAAGTCAAAGTTTAAAGTAGCAGAGAATGAAAATAACGTACAGATACCTCAAAAATGTACTTAAGTACAGTACTTGAGTAAATGTACTTAGTTACTTTGCATAAAACTGAGGTCATCATTGTACACTGTAAGGATAAGAGTTGTCCAAACCATGATTAAGTATGATGCTCAGTTTACTAGAGCGTGTCTTGAGCTTTCTATTTTTACAGGGCTGGCATTGTTATTAGATCACCATGGTGATTTATTGCAAAAAAAGATTGTTGAAATTTTTAAGGTGAAGCAGAAGCTGTACCAGAAGCTGTGTACTTGTGTATGCATGCTTTACAAAGGACATAACAATGTGTTTGATGTTGGACCCTGATGTTCCTCCGATTTCACAAAGTTATTCTGTGATTGTTGCTGCTAACTTGCTTTATGTATAATGTTGTATAATTAAAGTTAATGCTGAGTATCAAATCTTAACTACAAATATTCTTGAAAGTGTTTTGAATAGAAAAAGTCCATACTAGGTAAAAGTCTTAAGTGGTACCAAAACTCAGGTATTAGCACTAATATACTTTTTCTGAGCCAGCTTTTTCATTTGTTTTGTAGCCTGCACCTAAGAAACTTACTCTTTATTTATCTTGCATTAACAGAAGGGAGTGAGAGACAAATATAAGAGGCTGTAATGTAACATGCAGATAGCTAACCCTTCGGTGCTGCCAGATGAAAAGCACAGAGCTCAAAAGCTGTTGCCTATCTTAATGTCACATTACTGCTACTTGCACCTTTGTTGATTTGCTAATTTTATGCGCCTCAGAAAATATTTTCATTCTCTGAAAGCAAGGTACTTCTAGCTGTCCTCATGCTGTTATCTTTGGGTCTGTTTTAGAGCCCCATGTTCTCGCTGTATTCAACGTGGATACCTTTAACAGACTACATTAGAATTTGCTATGATTCAGGAATGAAAACGTCTAAAGGAACATTCCCCTTAAAGATCTCATTTTAGTCATTTATTTGAAGGATTTGGACAGTAGTGTTTAGGCATAAAGCAAATGGTCTGGCAAGCAGTGCTTCTTTTGATATTTGAAAGTAAATTGTTACATGTGCTTATTGGTTGTGTGTTTGTACTGTACACTGAACTTACAGCCACATGACTCAAGAGATAAGGTTTCAGTGTTGGCTGGGGCCTGGCAAGTACTTTGGTAGTCCTCACCTCCTGTGACAGACAACATGCTGCTGTGTGTTTGTGAAGGTGTCTGAACATTGTCGTCATTATCGATTGTTTTGTTAGCTTGTTTTTCTCAAACTGTTAAGTGAAGTCATCAGTCAGTACATTAGGTTCGGCTTGGGTGTTTGTCAGCATTCTATAGGTTACATGTCGGTGAAATTCATAGTTTGCCAAAGTAAACATTGCTGCTTCAATAAACGCCACCTTGCTGCTTGAGTCTACCCTTTTGTTGAGGAGCATGTCTAACTGTCTCTGTGTGAAGTCTGAATTTGTTTTCTGAAAATGAACTTCCTCAACAGGCAGGAGGTGTTTCCTTCCCTCCCGGTCCTCTGTTTGAAACTGTGAGGTGAATACTGAGCACTACTGAAACATGACTAGTGCAAAAACAACTGCTCCTTTGTACGAGCCAAGTGTGGGGCCAGTTGTAATGCTTTGTGCAGGCTTTTTCTGTTGCTTTCACTTCAGGCATGGAGTAGATTCTTTGAATCCATTGATTATTTTTATTTAAAAATGAATCATTTAGAAGTGCTTTAACAGTAGCTGGGTTAGCCTCCACATTAATGGATGCTTTATTTGTTATAACATATTATGACCTTTCTCTCTCGCTCTCGCTCTCTCTCTCCCTCCCCGTTTCTCCTGCTCTAACTCAGCTCCCCTTTGTGTCATTCACATTTTTAGAGTTCTAGCCAGACTGGGTAGTCACCTAAATATTAGTTAGGGTTTCAAATAACATCTCTTGCCATGGGGTTGTGCGACACACCTTTTGTGTATCTGTTACAGAGGTGTAGCTGGTGTGTATCAACTGGTTTATTTCATATGAAGAGGGTGTGGTGTGAGTACATAAAAGGCAGTTCAGTGCATAATTTGGGGAGTTTTTGTCCTGACATCTTGTTGTTGATTAGTTACTTAAAAAAATTCTTAATTGTTAAAAAATTATGATATGTCTGTCATTATTTAACTCAGAAAAATAGCTTTTTGGTATATGGAATGAGTATTTTAAAGTATGCCTTCATGGCACTTAGTAGCACCACAACACCCAGGTTGGCCGCGGCCTTTTCCACTGCTCTTTGTCAGACAGGTTTGTAGAGAACAGCAGCAGACTGCTGGCCTCAGCATTTTCCGCCTGTATTGATCTCCCCACATTAGCTCTTCATGCACAGACATAAGCGCAATTGCTTCTCTCGCAACACTGGCTGCCGTGGCAACTGAGTCCTGATCATGAGATTTGCTCCTAGAAAACATCTCAAACCAGTACCTCTTCATTTTGATGCCTCTATCATCTCCTTTACATTCCCCTGTACATGTGTGACACATCAATGGCTTGATTTGCCACTTCAAGTTATCTCCATATGTCTTTGTGTATTTTTGAATAGGCTAAGTGCTTAACAGGATAAAAGAGCAGTTTGAAAGGGGGGAAATGTGCCGTGGCACCTGCTGTTAGTGCCTGCCTGTTTGCACATGAATATGATGAGGCTGGCGGTGTGCAGGGCTGTTTTAACTTGCAGATGAGCCATCGGGTCAGCACCATTGCAGCTTTGGTGTATTTTCAAGGATGAGCTGCAGTCAACAGACCAGTCCAGCTTATTAGCTCCCTCCACACTCTTTACACACTAGTGTCCCATTATTCATTGCCTTCCCAGCCGCCTCCCTTTGATGCCTTTTCATAAGAGCAATGATAACTGCAATCATTGTAGCAGCGGTGGCAATTGACCAGCTGCAATAATGGTAAAATACTTCCTGTGTGTGGTTGGATGTGAGGCAGCTTTCTCATCCAGCCACCCTGCGTCTGTTGATAGTCAAATGAAGGTCTTCTGGAGGAGCTGCTCAAGAGAGGACAAGCATTTTCTGGCACCCGAGAGTGTAGCTGAGAGGTCAGGGCTGCTTTAGGGTTAATCAGCGGTCTCACACTTCACCCAGGCCGTGACTTCTTCTCATGTGCCAGCCACAGAACTGCAACAGGTCACCAGGCTGTTGCTCATGGCATGTTGAAGAAGAAAGGACAGCTGTGTGGAGTCTTTGCAGTTGACTCTGGCTTTAGAAAACACTCACCTTTTAATCAAATGAAAACCCAATGGTGTCAAGGAGTTTTTTTTGTGCCACGCCTGTGTTAGCTTGTGGTATACTGTTTGTCATCAGTATGTGTTAGGTAACAAAGTCACGGGTCTAGACTTGACGTAAACTGATACAACCTAGGGCTTCGTAGTTGGTCAATCTGCCATGTTATCTTCTATTTAATTCTATTTTGAACCCAGTCTGAGATCCTTGTCTGATGCCACACTCAATCATGAACACAAATATAAGTCCTTTGTAGAAGTCTTGCTCACTGTACGTCAACACTTCATTTTTCAGACATGCACACAAACAGCCAAATATAGTCTGAATCGGTTTTAGGAAGGATGCATGATATTTTCCGACAGAATTGTAGACTCATCTCTCTGCTCGGCCCCCTTTCTTTTAGTAAATTCACTCAGAGTAGGAACCTGTCAAATCCAATATCTTTCTGTCTGTTGGTCATTTGAGCAGAGATTTTGTTTTAACACAAATGGGCAGTTCTCTTGCTGCCTGACATATCTGATTGATCTACTTTGCTGAGAGCTGTGATTCATCCTAGACTGATTTTTCTCTTCCTCTCTCTCTTTCTCTCAGTCTCTTGGTCTTTCTGTCATGCCCTGTCTTTCCGTAAAAGGATTTCCCTTTTGTTTTGTCTCTTGTTCTCTCTGGCTGTCCCTTTGCCTTCTGCCTGGAAAGCTCTTTGACTTCTGTATATATTGTGTACCACATATACATCACTGTATACTTGTATACATATGGTACATAAGGCCATTTCAGTGGTTCTGACACATTAAAACATTCAGTAGAGGATAGACAGGCAGAATGGAGGAGAAAATGTAGCTAACATGACGTCATCTATAGAGCACACAGGACATAAACTGAAACAAATACACAAGCATGCTTTTAGCGCTGCAGAAGTCATGACTGGATTTGGAAGTCGCTGTGTGCTACATGTTCTCTCCCTCACTGAGAGTTGAGTGGTCATTTTTTTAAATGCAGTAATGCCTTCTTGAACCCCCTCCTTTCTTCACTGACTGGCTTTGACATGCTGATGTGTGCATGCGTCTACATTTTGTCTCCCGTCTCCCCCACTGTGTAAACACTTGCAAATTTGACCCAATTCTTATCTTAATACTGAAGTGAAAAGATATGTCTATCCACCACACTCTGTGCACTTTTACCTCTGCAACCTCCTTCCCATCTCAGTCCAGACGCAGAGCATCCCAGACTACTCCAGAACCAGGACGTCTGGTGTCAGCACACAGGTGGAGCGGGAGTGTTTTGTTACAGGGCAGCCGCTTTGGGCAGAGCCAACCAGCATGGATTACTTATTTTTTTTATTGGCTCTTGTTTGTGGGATTTCTGTTCTTAATTGAAGTGATGACATGGTTGTCATGGTGACACCCAGGACATAAAGCTTGTTGTGAACTGGGCCATAAAGTGATAGTGTGCTCTTGGCCTAACCAGCCACTGTGGAAGACAACAGCTTGTCGTTTTACAATTATTCAGATTTTTTTCAGCAAACATATAAATTGAAATCTCTCTTTGCTCAGTACATTAAACTAAAACTCGGATAGGATCACTGCTGTTGTATAAGATAGCATGCTTTTTCTGACCCCATGCAAAAAAGTTTTATTGTTTTATTAATAATGATACTTGGGTGGAATTGGTTAATGATACAGGGCTCCTGGCAATATTGAATTTCCTACTGCCATTAAGTGACTGACAACTTGTAACCTCTTTACACTACTTAATCTGGCATGTGACAAATTGAGTCTTGATCTTGGCTGAATGTAGATCATTCTGTAAGAGCTATTCACTCTGTAAGATGGAGGATTCCACTCATTCCTGCAGTCATTGGATGGCTTCATGCTCATTTACACAAAAGGAGCAGCTGGGTCTTGTCTGAAACAAGGTGGGCGTCGTGGAGTGGAGCCTGAAGTCAGTTCAGACGCTTGAGAGGACCTCCTCGAACGTCCTTGGTTGGAGTAGAGAGCTGAGAGCCTTTCTGTCCTTGCCAGGCGTGGAGGAGAGGGCCAGTGAGAGAGTTAGGAAGTGCAAAAGATGTAGACAGGCACAGGTACAGGTGGTGTGTCCCCAGGGAAAACTTCAGAAAACAAGGTCAAGCCTGGAAGAGCACCCACTTATTTCATAGTGTCGACTGTGTTTTGAAATCAAGTCACCATCACACTGTGACTGTGTCTGTATGTGTAAGCTGTTTATCCTTAAGAACCTTTTCTTTCTCTCTCTCCAGACCTCTTTGATTTAATGGGTCCAATCATTGGGATGTCACCAGATAAGAAAACGGAAATTCCGGGTATGCAAGAGGAGCGAGCAGGGCTCAGAGGTGTTTGTGGTGTGGGAACACTGCCAGAGGCGGAGTGTGCATCCAGTCCGCTGGCAACCAGCGTGGATCGCACTGGAGGTATAGAGGATGAGGAGCTCACCAACCTCAACTGGCTCCACGAGAACCTGCTTCAGAACTTCACTTTGGGGGGCCCTGAAGCCCAGCCCAGCGGCAGCCCCCTCTTTGACATAGAGGGAGACTACGGGTCCAACCAGGGCCCGTCATCCTCCTCCTCATCCTCATCACACAGCAGAGGCAGGGAGCGGGACTCATTGAAGTCTAAGCCCCCTTTCTCATTTTCCCTCCTCATCTACATGGCCATTGAGCAGTCACCTAGCAAGTCTTTGCCTGTTAAAGAAATTTATGGCTGGATTCTTGAGCACTTCCCTTATTTCTCCAGTGCCCCCACTGGCTGGAAGAACTCAGTTCGTCACAACTTGTCCCTGAACAAATGCTTCCGCAAAGTCGAAAGGAGTTTGGGAAAGGTAGGTTAACAAACTCTCCTAATGGTCATATACTTCACACCAATTCAAACTGAGAAAACCAGTTTGTTTGTTTGAATTAATTCTTTTAGACCTATTGTCACCAAAAAAACCTTTGTTTGATGATGTGATATTGTCCAATAAATGTGAAAGTAGGATCACACTCATTAATAATATTTGATGTATTCTTCTGACAGAATAAAGACATTTTTGTTATCGAGTGTGATCCTACTTTCACATTTACTGGATAATATATACCACTGGATAATTCTTCCTGAGTGCAGTGGAGCCTGCACTTAAAAGATGATGATATGATATTAAAATTTCCATAGGCCAAATGTGTCTGCTTTGTTTAACAAAATACTCTTGTCGAACAGCACATTGCAGTGTAACACTGCAGTGGGGCTCATGTGCCAGTGTCCAGGACCTCTGGCTCTGCTGCGATAAGGGTGGAATCCAGTCAAGGTCACAGATACTCCTTCAGAGGAAATGCAAACACAGCACACTGAGATAGGACTATGTCTCCCGACAGTAGCAAAACTGTTAACTATTAACTGAGGACTGCAGTATCCCACATTTGGAAACCTCAATGTCACACTGCGAAGGAAGCACATGTGACCTAAAGTGCAGACATGATTTTGTAGGATGAATCTTTGTCAGCCTGGTCCTGGCAGAGTTAAGTGCTATTTCTGTATAGAAAAGAAAAAAGAGAAGTTGACTGTCTCATATGCACATGTGTGTGACAAAGGGATAAACCCATCCTATACTTCCTGCACAAACATTCTTGTAAACTAAACTAAACCTTTTTTTTTTGAAAGCTTTGATGGTTTCAAATAGTCTTGACTAATTTAAGCTAATATAAACCTTGTTAAAAAACTATTTCATTGTTGTTGTTTTTTTTTCTGTGCAAAGTTTGATCCGATTTGCTTAACTATGGCTTGGTAACATACAGTAAGCAAGCACTTTGAAGGCTATATTCAGAGTTTCCTCAAATGTTGCATAATCCTGATTGGTGTGTGGAAGTATGTGACATCACCTGTTTCCAACTGAAGCCATGCCCATGTCAGACTTGTGAGAAAAACACAGATAAAACAAAACAAACATTTATGACCTCATTGCTCTTAGTTAGAAGCTAATTAGGAAAATTGGTTTTCAGTGTCTTTAATGGAGCTCAAGTGCAGCTTTTTTTTTGTTTCCCTTCAGTCTAGTTTGCATCTGTTGATCAAGTTTTAGAGAGGTTTTCGAGCGTGCCTGTGGGAGACTTGATACACAACCTAATTTTCATGTTACAAGATTGTAAGCGTATTGAGCTTCAGTATGAGTTTGGACTTGTGACTGGTAGAACCTGTGCAGTCAAGGCTGTTCCTGGCTAAGACCTGATATTTTCCACCATGGGAGTGGATGGCAGTTAGCGTGCAGCGTGTAGCAACATGGCGTTTTGCAGTACACTCAGCGTGCAGGTGCACAGCGTGAGCCCTTCGTCTACTGAGAGACCAGCACCAGTTTCACATGACACACTGACTGGTGGTTTCCGTTGCTATGGAGACATTTCCTTCTTCCTTCATCTGGGCTTGTTGGTAATATGAGTCAAGGTTATTCTCCTCCCTCCCTCACTCTATCCTCCTCCCAGACTGGGCAAGAATATGCCGCCATGAGATAAAGTGACTTTTAACACAGTCCCTCACACATCCATTACAGACAGACAGATCCATTACTCACACAGTGCTGCAGAGCAGTTATTTCCTCCTTTTGTTGACGCTGTGAAGGAATTCTTAGTTATGCAATTGCTGTTTTCCTCTGTTTTGTTCTTGATGTAGTTCTCCAAAGAAGAGTTTGCTTAAAGTTTTTGCCATATGTACAAAGTGAGACATAATTAATTTGACACATTATGCTGCTTTTGGTGCAGTTTACTGTATCTAGTACTCAGATTCTGTCAGCTGAGAAATCAAGAATCTTCTGAATGTGAACTCTGACAAAAATGCTGCACTTTATTTACATGGATTTAATATAAATTCTAGCCACATAGTTAACATTTTTAAAAATATTGTCTGTTTTTTAAAGCAGTTTCTTTTATTAACCGTGCTATGAAGTTTATTGCTGAAAGTGTTTGCTTTGCCAAATTGACTAAATCTGTAAAGGGTTATCGTTACACTTTGCTTTTTCCCTGATAAATAATGATTTTGTCATTTCTAGTGTTCTACAGTTACAGATATTACAGCTGCACAGATCATCAAAATTGATTGCTAACCTAGAAATGTTTTTGTGAGTGGGCCCCTGTTTTGTTTGCATTGTGCATGAGGACACAAATGGCAAGCATGCATATGTGACACACACATGGTTGGTGGTAGTAACATGCACAGAAACATAGCAATGCACTCATAAAGGCGGTGAAAGACTGCTAGCAAAGGGGAATATAAACAATGCATCAAAACAGTAAAACAATTCTGCTTTGCAGTTATATTTCAATGCAGGAAATAGGATAGAGGATGTTACACACACAAGGAATTTGTTTCCGGTACAGGACCGAGGAAGCCATCTGCGGTGCCAAATCACACCCTGATGGCTCTAACCATTGGGGGCAACTTGGGGTTCAGTGTCTTGCCCAAGGACACTTCGATATGTGGACTACAGGACACTGAAACTCAAGTTGCCCGCGAAGGTTAGAGCCATTTGTTAGTCATTAAGGATACACACTGGTGTGAAACACTAAATTTAAACCCTAACCTTTCCTACAGGCCAACGGAAAAGGCTCTCTCTGGTGTGTTGACCCAGAATACCGCCCCAACCTGATCCAAGCCCTTAAGAAGCAGCACTTCCCTGCCACACATGCCTTCTACACACCACCCGCCTCCCCACCCAGGTAAGCTTTCCTCAGACACTTTCTGAATGTTGTCAGTTATGAGTTGGTATTGACACATCAGCTCTGTCTCTGTGTCTCTTTGTTGGACTTGGTAGAGTTAACAAAGCATATATTAATAGGCTTTTGTTTTATTTTGCATGCTGGGCTTTCTATTTTTCTACATCAGATGATATAAGTTATGTTTTGAAGTGTGACATTTGATTTTTCTTTACATTTCTTTTGCAAACTTAAAATCGGACCCTTCATGTCTTTTGCTGACCTGCAGTGCCTCCTCACCCCCTCGTCATCTCTTTCTACAAGGCTGCTCATTCAAAGGTGAGACCGAAGCTAGCAGTTCTTCAGTTTCAATATGTACAATAAAAGCTGCCTCCCCAGCAACAACATGCAGATTTATAGAAAATCAAGTCAGTGCAGTTATTTAACTTGTGTTTGTGCAGTATTTTGATTATGTTGCCTTTGCACATTTCAGTCCCAGCACATTCAGCATCACAGTGCTTTTATGCTCAGCTCTTGGTTTCATTTGTTGCTTTTGAGTCATTGATGCTTCATGTAGACCATAACGTCGAGAGCTCCCAGTCGATGTCTCAGCCTCCTATTTCCCCCCCCTCTGCCTCTTGGATTTGTAACCTTGACGACAGGCAGAGGTTCTGCTGGTGCTGAGTGTCGAGCACTCAGTCTCACTGTAATCATTAATAATGTAGAACCCCAGAAGTGAGCAATGAGGCTTTTAGACACTTTGTCATGTCTGAAAAGATCAGATGCGCTCTCTATATCAGTGGCTTGTATATATGCTCTGGTTTGTTTAGGTGAAGCTTCTGCATATCCAGTCCATTCAGTAAGCGTTTACTGGGTCATCATGTCTCTAGCTTAAAATAATTGAAAGAGCCCAGTGTTCCCATTCTTACTAGAGATGCCATACTACCATGCTTTCTCACCTCAGGACTGACCATCATGCATGTTCTCTCCTCTTCCAGAGTCTGATATTGATGCTGCCACTGCCATGATGCTCTTAAACTCTGCCCCTGGGCACCACGTTGACCCATGTAAGAGAATCCACAAGCAGCCATACTTTCACCTATTCTTCCAACTCTTTGTTTTCTACCCCTGACATACCACCCTCTCATTGCTTAAACTTCTTTTATTTTGTGTGCTTGAATTTGTGATGTACGTGTCCTGTTTGTATAAAATACATTTTGGTTTTTGCATAGAAAAGGTTTCAGGAGCATTACTCTTTCTGTACACATTCATTTAAAATGAGTTATAAATGCTATTTGCTTATAGTTTAAATCATAAAAATGATGTAGCCTGTACTTGGTTAAATTAATTCACTGCCTGCTAAAGCCCTCTAAGGCCCATTTAATATCATAGGTTTTGATAATATTTGCACTTTTGCCCATCTATCCTGATTCTGCTTTAAAGTGCCCGTGGCATGCTCATTTTGCTCGTTTCCAGCCATTTAATGTTTAATCTTGGGTATCTCTAGATTAGCTTGGCACCCCTCATAACTCAAAATAGTTTGCAAGACTTGTATAAACTGAGTTACTTGTGCAACGAAATACTAGAACTTATGTACGTCTCATTTTTTGAGCTTTAGGTCACGTCTAAGATGATAATTCACTGTTCTGATGTTGTAGATGTGTCAAAAAACAAGGAAAAGCATGCCATGGCTCTGCATACAAAAAGATATTTTTAAATCAGGTTTCCCCTTTTGGGCCGAGACTAGTCTTAGTTCTGCTTTACATTTGTAAACAAAGCAAGCTGAAACTACAGTGTATGGTTTGATTCTGCTTTTTCTTTTTCAGAAAAAAAAGTAGGTAGTTTACTGTAAATGTATAGTAGGATATACTTATTGCCACTCACAACCTATTGTGAACCAACTAAAGTGAGACATGTTCCCAAGAGACTGTTTAATTAATTTTACATGTGTATAATGTACATTATTTAGACTGTTTATCAGACTAATCACTCCTTCCATCTTCTGCTCTCCTCAGGCAATTCTGACAGCCCACTGGACCTCTCCAGACCCGACTCTGTTCTGGTGAGCAGTGATCCAAAGCAGGACCACAACTACAGCAGTGTAGCCTTGCAGCGCTGCTCCTCCCGTTCCTCCTCCTCCTCATCTCTTTCCTCCCTGGATGAAGCAGGCTGCGACCGCAGAGAGTCTCGCCGCGCTGGCAGCGAGGGCTTCCACAGCGATGAGGACTCCGACCTTTGGGACGAGAGGGGGGTCCACCAGACTTCACGACGTCCGCCAGCCATCAAGTGGCCCACCAGCAAGAGGGCACGGCGTGAGGTTAAGCCAGAGCTGGATGAGGAGCTGAAGGAGGCTGCCGGCTCTTTGCTGCACCTTGCTGGTATACGCAGCTGCATGGAGGGTTCTAAACGCACTGTCAAGAGCACAAAACTTAACAGGAAATGAAGATTTGTTTTTTGTTTTTTTGCCCCCATCAGACTCTGGACCCTTTGAACCCTTAGAAGCCTAACGTCTGACCCCTGATCATGTGTCCCAGTGTGCCTACTTCTCCTTATCTGATCGTTCATTGGCCATTTTGAGCCTTTTTTTTTGTTGTTGTTGTTTGGGAATATCCCTGTTCAACAAAATAAATGGCAATAGTATCGTTCACCCAGGAGAACAAAGCCATATAGAGACTTTTGTAACTTGGGGGGTAACTGCTGGGAGTCGGTGTCTGGGCTATGGAGAACCATCAAGATACCTATCCTAAATGACCTGTCTGCTTCTGGTGGATTAGAAGACGGTGACTTAAGAATTTTTCTCTGACAGACAAAATGGGAAATGCCGAAGGTTTTGTAACTCAGAGCGTTGCATGCTTCCTCCTCAAACCTGTATCCTCTTCCAAGTGAATCTATTTATGAAGCGAATGAGTGCATGTTTATAACAGACAAAATCTAACCTCCTGGTGTTATTAGTTTCTCCTTTTTGTGATTAAAAATGCCACTGTTTTGAAAGGAATTCTTGCTCTATGAATCCTCTTGTAAGAGAGATGCAATAATTAATCCACAACCTTAACTTTTTGACATTGTTTCACAGTGGCATTTTTCACAGTTGAGTATGTTAGTTAAACTTTACAATCAAGTGAATGAATGAAGTAGTATTATGATCTTGTGCAACAAACTGATCACACGCGAGCTCCGGCACCTTTTCAGAATTAGCAAGACATGGAAATAGTATTACTCTGCCACTGCCAAATTTAGTTGCAAAGCTAGCTATACTACTTCACTCAGTTTTGTGCAGCCATTACAGTGCTACAGAAATGAAAGCTACTTCCTTGTTTTTGCAAATCTGCTGCTCAATCCCTTTCATTCATCAGTGTGTTTCTGACAATTCTTGTGCAGACACAGAACATATATTCACATGTTTGGTGACCACGTATGCAAAGTGAACATCTGCCATGTATTGCCAGATGTTCACTGTGGGTTCATAGGTTCATAGATTTTGTTTTGTTTTTGTGTGTGTATCATAGTCCATGTCTACTTCAGCCTAAACCTGAGATACCCATCATGGCAGAGAAGAGTTTGAAATGGTCAAACACTTTTCTTCTACTGACAAAGTAGTCCTACTGCTCCGATGAATAGGATTGGTTTACCAACAGATCTCCTTGCCACAGTTGTATTGTAGGCCTGCTTGCTTCTGGATCTTTTGAATGCAGAGCTGGTTAATAGTCAGAAAAAGGTGTCAGACAGAAAATGACCACAGCTTCTTGCACCATTATTTGAGTTTGCAGTTTGATGATTAAATTTTTTTTTACAGAATTATACAGCTCATTTTCTGTTGGTTGATCCTGTGGCTGAATTTATTCACAACCTTAAGGAAAATGTGTCTGTTTTGTGTTTTCACATGAAGGTGCAGGGTGTAGAGCATAGTCAATGTGAAGAATGAGAATATGGTCATGGCCAGAGAGAGCTGGACTTTGTATCTGCATTCACTCGCAGGCGAGATGATGAAGACTTGTGCTGCTCTCACGTTGTGCCCTCAGTTCTAGCTGGTCACTAGTGTTTTGTCCTTGCTCTTCCTCTTATAACAAAATAAGGAAGTGCACGCACTCATCTCAAGCTGTGAAATGGAGTGTTTATTGTCAGTCGATTGCATGCAGTTCACTGAGGCAAAGTTGCCAGTTGCCTTTGTAAAAGGCCAAAGTTCTCATCAGAGCTTTGAGAAAGGCTGCACACTCAACACTGCGTAACACAAGGTAGCGTGGAGGCACACAGGTGTAACGCTGAAAATGATATTATTCCTTCCAACAGTGCTAGATCCCATTGTGTCACAGTGATAGTTGTTATAGCGTGCATGGGCAGTGCCAAACATTTCTTGTGCCACTGATGTAAAACTGCAGAGGGCCATGGTCGCTATATTCCCCTGCTGCCACATTGTACATGTGAAATAGAGTTGCGCTGCCCTACTTTTCTGAATCATCCTAACAAGAAACGAGACAGGACTAATCAGTACAGTGACTTGACCAATTTCTTGGTTTATTTTTGTTGCTTTAGAGTGGGAACTGTTCTTAGCTGAGTAAGCTGCAGGTCTCAGAAGTAATACTTGCATACACTGGTCTTGTGTAGCTGTGAAAAAAAAGAACAAATTATTGTTCATTAATCACCTTATTTATGACATTAATTTATGGGACTATTGAATGCATACTCAAACACTGGCCATTTGAATCGAATGACTAGATATGTTTATTTTCCTCCCTCTGTGAAATCCTCTTACTAAATATTCTGGTTTTCTCCTTGTTTATTTTACAGCAATACATTTTTTTTTCCTTTCACTATGTTGTAGTGATTAAGTATTTTTGCCAATGTCTCTTGTGTCTAGAGTGGATTTTTTTCCTGCCAATTTAACCACGACTGCCAGGTTTTCTTGATGTTTTGTCTTGCTTTTTGTTAGGCTGGATAGAATTACATTAACATTGATCCTGCAACCTTTTTTTTGCCAAAATTGATGTACAGCTGGGGTATAAACAATGAACACCTTCCCCATGTGCTGTAAGCCAATTGAATTATTTTTACATTCATCTCATGTATGGTTTACATTTAGATATTATGACTTAAGTAGCCACAAACTGAAGATTAGTCTCTTGATCTCATCACTGACTAGAATATTTTTTTAAAAATTACAGCCACTCATAACTCATGCTTCCACGTGTTGTTATGGGATGTTAAAATATTTTCACTGAAAAACTGGAACAGACTCAGTCCCCACACTGCTGCTGTGTAGTTTCAGAGCTACATGTAAGTATAGGGATGACTGCAGAGATATTATAGAGAGACTTGTAAAGGAAAATCTCACTCATTCTTTCTGTAGCACTTGCAAATGAAATGTTGTGTTGGTCTCAAACTGACACTGAGTCAGTGATGTGATCTGTGAATGAGCTAGCTTCCAGGACTCAACCTAACTCAAAACCCAGTTGGTTCATTGCTCAACAGCTGTTATTCAATATTGATTATGTGATTCTCTAAATTCTGTTGCAGTTCATATGGGTATGATGAACATGTTGCATTTGACAAAGCTGCCAACCCAGTATCAGTTTGTGTCAGTTGTCTGCCATGTCTACTGGACCGACACACCTTTTGATTTTTGTATGCTAACCTCTGTTGATAAAATGTTTATAAGATTTATTTTCGCCAAAGATATGCAATTGCATTATATATGGTATTACAAAATATTAATAAAAACCTGTTCTTGTTATCACTGTATGTATCTTTTTGTTCTAGTATGAGTTGCAGCTCAGCTTCACTGCACTTAAGACAGCATCTTTTTGCCCTCCACACTCTTCCACAGCACAAGAATGTCATCACTTTACATTAGTAGCCTACACAAGATACATTTTTGATCAACATTGCCATCTGCTGTGAAGGCCATAAGATCAGCATTCTAGCTAATAATAGTCTGTTTTTTAGAACAGCTACATCTCCATGTGGCTGGTTTCTCAGTTTTCACATAAGCATGTTACAGCTGGCAAATATTTTCCACCAAGTCCAGCAGTTCAGCGCTGTTTGGATCGCACACACTGTGCTCAGCGTTACATGTGGCAGCCTCAGTACGCTTTCCCTTTTTCTTCTGTGTGTTTTTTGACTGCACCAACATGGCAGGCTGCCAGAAATGCACCTTGCATTAATGTAAATTCCAGGGCTGTGCCAGTGATGGATGCATCATCAGATGTCCTAACGGCACTCTTCGCTGTAAGTTAATTAGTCATGGAGGACTGTGGGATGAACACAGTGTGACCCTGAACAAGGGCTTGTCTGACTAGCCTCAGGCCCGTTGGCACAGCTCTATTGTTCAATGGAGCCCTGTGTGTCGACTGGAAGAGGGGGGCTTCTCCCTACTGACTGCCTCAATTCAGCTGGAAATCAGAGCAGCATCACCTTCCCCCCCCCTCCCACACGGCCCTAGCAACCACGCCACGCCGCCAGTTGCCAGGCAACCAGACAATGCTGGAGCTAGTGGCTGTGGTGTGCATGTGAGACAGTTTGTGTTTTGCCTGTATATGCATTAAAGATCAGGAACAGTGCGACAGCAGCACAGGAAATCCTTTTTATTGGTATGAAACATTTAAGCAGACCTGTTTTATAGATACTTTGTATGTTACAAATTTAACAGCTGGTACAATAATAAAAACAGCCATGATTTCTTTAAAGAAATTGTGATGTTCTGTGGTGAATATATAAAGAGATTATTATGGATTAGGTGAAATTAATCATGTAGGATTTAAGCAGTGATGACTGCACTAGCAACATAGCATTTCAGTTCTAGTCTAAATGAGGTCATGTGTTTTAAAGGGAAATCACAGACAGTATCACTCAGTGCTGAGACCTGCTTGTGATTTCTGACCCCACTGATGTTAACACAACCCATACCACACTCAAACCCAGCAGTAAATATTTTATGAGTGAAATTACAGTACTTAATAGTAAATTGTATTAGGTCTTTTAATGTAAAGCTAAAATGAGACAGAAAAAGGATGCTATAATAGTAGTGTCTCCATTTTAAGTCATACTATTGTCATGTTTATACCTTCCTATAATCAAATGTAAATGTACAAATAGTTACTATATATTACAGTATATGCTTAGTGTATATTACCAGTTTAATGTTACATAGTGAACCCTTTTCTTAGTTTTTTATTCTATAAATTTTTCTTTCCAATTAATTTGCTACTGTTTTCATTGTTTATTATACATCTACAGTGGTGATAAGTCTACAGATTGTAATAATATTCAAATACAAGTAAAAGTCCAGCATTCAAGTTAAACTACACATTATTTGCAAAATGTAAAAAGTATAAAAACATACAAAAATTATGCAGAATCATTCTTTTCAAAGTCATATCTATTTATCCTATTACAATATAATTATTGATTCATTAACAACATAGGTAGTTTAATGAAAAATAAACCTACATGTTTTGTATTGGAACCTTCAAAAAAGTAAATAAAGCTGTCAGACAAATGTAGTGTAGTAAAAAGTATAATATTTTCCACTGAGCAGTAGTATAAGTATAAAGTTGAGTAAAATGGAAATACTTAAATAGTACAAATACTTTGAATGTGTACTTAAGTACAGTGCTTGATGTAGCTACCAGTTATTTTCCACCACTGATAAATAGTATCTTGTAAACCCAAGTGGGCTGGACACGTCTAGGTACATTCATTCAAACTGAGCATAAACTCGCAATTCAAGTATTTACGGTAGTTACTGTAGGTAATCCAGTCCACTTCAGATCTTCAGACGCTAGATGTCGCCCTCCTCTCAGCACTGCACCACTTGTCTGTTTTCTGAACTCTGACCTCAGTGCTTGTGTCTTGTGTTAATTCGAGGAGGATTTTGCGCGTTATAAAATGAAAGTATTCCTGCAGATTAATGGATTGTCAGTGCTGTTTTAGTAGCTTAGCAGCCGCTATACTCTCCCTTCAATACGATTTATGGACGCAGCAGGATACTACTGTCATAGGACAGTGACCTACATGTGTTGCTCGGCGTCAGGAGTTGTTTTGCTACATTAGCTAGCAAGTTAGCTGCTGGCTAGTCAGCCCAGCTAGCAGGCTTTGCTGCCGCTAACAGTGATAAAGCATCCGGTTTTACAAAGCAACGTAAATCAGATGACAGCCAATCAACCAGTTCTTTCTGTAGGAGTTATGACGGCCCTTCTGTCACAATGTATCCGAGGTCGGTTTTACCAGGTACTGGAACAAGCCTTCATGAAGTACTGTAGTTCATAACCACACTGAGCTAGCCAACCTGAGTTAGCCAGGTTACAGCTAACCGTTCCCACATCAGCATTTCAAGCAGCCGACACCGAAGAACGGTTCTGGACAAGCTAACCTGCCCCCCCCGTTAGTTAGCCAGGCTAACTAGGACAATATTTTCTACTGTTAGTAACGTTTCAAGCGACAATGGCCAACGTTACAGACCTGCAGACGAAGTACAGCAAACTGGCACAGGAGTACTCCAAGGTAAAACTCAACTATGGCTGCTCATTTATTGTTGGATCAATCAGAGCACATCGATACACATAGAATTACAGAGTAGGAAAGAGGACAGCAGGTGCAAATGTGTTATTAGTGTTAGTCTCTTTTTAATGGTCTGTCATTATCGATCAGAGATCAATGACGTGTAATGCTTCGTCATATCGGAGGGAAACTATATACTCGGTTGTTGGTTTATGAGGTACACATAGCCATAGCTAATGGTTTAACGCAACAGTTCTTGTTTTGTTGATACAGTTTAAGGTAAAACGGGTGTTGACTCAACTTTATAAACTTTGTGGCCTTCATGAAGGAGCCTAATGAGTGGTGGCCTTGAATAGTATACCAATATAAGGATGATATACAGTAGTAATATTATTTTGTTATAATAGAGTAGAGTTTAACAGCACCACAAACTATAGTTTCTACAATAACCATAAATTTGAAAACCATTAAACAGTTTAAACAAAAGAGCATTCTAGCCTTTGTGAATGTAGGATTTAATGTTATGGCAGCACTGCTGTGTTAATTAATTTTGATATGGCATTTAGTATATATTGATATGTTTTTCATTGTGGTATACGACTAGATATCTCAAAGAATTGTTTTTATCCTGATAAGTTTTAACTTAAATGGTCATTAATATTTGGTCCTAACAGAAGTGTAATGAACCTCTGCCTGCTTGGCCATAATGTAGAGGAAATATCAGTCACTCGTATTCTAAGCATTGTTTTCATTTTGTAAATATTAAGGTCCACATCAGACCACATTTGGATGTTATACACAGCCGGTAAATGACCTGTGTTCAAGTGTAATATGGGGGATTTATCAGTGAGTGGCAGTTCTTTGACAGTAAAGCCTGTGCACCTGTGTTTTCTCTTGTGAGTTTTATTATGCCCTTTGTTTCTTTATAAGCTGACAGCACGAGGAGTGTGTGCTGTTTCCTGTTAAACTGTGATCTCCTCATTGGCCAAGCACCATATCCTGCTCACAAAGTGCTGACTCTGTAACTGTCACAAAACTGCCACTGTACTTAAAAGACTGTTTAAAGCCAGCGGCCCTAGTGTAAAGAACCTTGAGTTTCAAATATTTCAGTGCAGAATAAGATGGGAAAATATCAGTGACACAAAAACTTATGTTAGACATGTTTTGAGTAAAGGGAAATATGACTTCAGCCTAAGATGCTAAATACACACAACATTGTTCTTTGTTTGAGATCATAATTTATATTTTATGTCTTAGCATTTTGTATATTTTCACAGCTCCGTGCCCAGAATCAGGTGCTGAAGAAGGCAGTTGTGGATGAACAGGCCAGCTCTGCCTCACTAAAGGTAAAAGAACATATAAAAACAAAACAGTATATTAAAAGCCATGTATCAGTATTGCAAACTGCATTTTTATGCTTTCTAAACAAATTCAGATGATGACTAGAACTTGTTGCGATATTACAATTAAGTATGCTGAAGTATACATCGTTAACTCTTCCATATTTGCCCAGCAGCCTTTTTTCAATCAAATGAAATAATCCAAATTGTAAAGCAGTGCATAGGGTTACTTCATCATCATTTAGAGGTAGTGATTCGCTTCATACATTGGCTTGTCAGAAGACATGACCAGCATTGTTAGTATATGCCTGACGTGAGTTTGTTGTTATACTGATGTTTCCCCTCATCAGGAGCAGCTGAAGCAGAGGGACCAGAGCCTCAGGAAGCAGGAGCAGGAGATGGACAGTCTCAGCTTTAGAAACCAGCAGCTGGCCAAGAGGGTGGAGCTGCTGCAAGAGGAGCTAGCTGCCAGTGAAGCAAAGGGCAAAAAGGGGAAGGTGATCATGAGGGGAAATAACGGGAGTGGGTAGAAAGTGATTTGTGTATTTTTTTGTAATGGCCATAAAATTAATCTGATAGCAAAAACATTAGTTTTAAGAGTGGCTTTGACATTTGCTAACTCTAATGATTGTGATTTAATAATGATCTTTATAGAGTCAGAGGATTATAATTAACAGCTCCTATTTTATTTGTAATTTCTCCAGGGTAAGGGAGACTCTCCTTCACAGTATGGCCTCCAGACCCAGAGTGTTTTTGATGAGGATCTGCAGAAAAAGATAGAAGAGAATGAGCGACTTCATATCCAAGTAAGCAGCTCTGTTCTTATTTATATTGTTTTGTAATTTTTCTGTGTATAGAATATTTAAAGTTAATCTATTGGGTAGGCCATACATCTGATGGCTCTGTTTTCTACTGCATTAGTTCTATGACGCAAATGAGCAGCACAGGAGGCAGGAGGCCGAGCTGAGAGCACGGCTGGAGGAGCTGGAGAAAGACTCCCAGCAGCACCAGGCTGTTGTAGACGGACTCACTACGAAGTACATGGAAACAACTGAGCGGCTGCAGAGCGACAAGGCACGTTTAGAGGTAAGGATAAACAGGGGTGGATTATGAACACAGTATGTTTTTGTCAGTTTAAATACAGTTGATTACAATGTCAGTATTTTCCTTTTTCTTTCTGCTGATAGGTGAAAGCACAAACTCTGGAGAGGGAAGCAAAAGAGTGCATAGTGCGAGCAGAAGAGTGGTATATCGACTTTGTATTCAGTTTGTGAAACATTTAATCAATGATTGTGGTGTCAGAAAACCAAAAGGGTGATTTCATATACAACTAACTATAGTGGGAAAGATGTATTCATACTGTATATAGCTGGAGCATGGTTCAAGTAAACTCCACTAGACACAAAAATATCTCTGTATCAGTGTCAAAAAAATCTGGGTAATATTCAGAACTGGATTATGAAGTATTGTCATACACTGTGACTCCATATACATTTACTCCTGGTTTAATTTGTATCTCACACATTTTTTTGCTTGTAAATTAACTGACCACGTGAAATACATTCGGTCTGTGTCTGCAGTCAGCAACAGTTGAGGCGTTGCCAGTCAGAGCTGAACAGACAAGTGAAACAAAGCAGCAGTGTTATCCAGGAGAAAGTGCCCTTCAATGACACTAGTGAGTATCTGACACTGAGCCACTTTGATAAAACATGATCTGCCATGGAGCAAGCATCACTCTCTGCGTCACTGATACCATAACAACATTCTGTCCAGGAGTAAATAGTGTAATGTTACACCAAGCTGTAATATTGCACGCAAGGAGGCAGGAGGCTAAACCACTTAAAGCTATGTTTGTCGAGTCAGTAAAGTCAAGTGCAGAGACTGATGATCTGCTCTGGTTTAACCACTCTTGTCTGTCTTCCTGCAGAATTTAGTGACTACAATAGCCTAAATGTACCACCACACAATCGAAGGCACCAGGTGAGTAAAAGAATAAACAAACCTCTGTGTTACTGGCTGTATTATTATAGCATTACAGTTCAAGGGCTATATTTTTCCCAGTAATTATAGCATGTATTTTTTGTTTGTTTTTACAATGCAGAGATTTCAGTGCTTTACCCAGCTTGATGAATTGCATTATATTAAGCTTTTTACTATCCACAGTAATGTTAATGACTATCTAAGGGCACTAACAATATTACTGTTATACACAAATGTAGGCGACTTAAGCCCATTTTCCACTGCATAGTACCTCTGAAACTGGACTTGCCTTGACTCACCTAATTTGTTTTTCCAACAGTCAAATGTTGGGGATACTACCTGGTACCTGGTACTAGTTTTGGTATCACCTCCATTGAGGTTCCAAGCGAGTAGAGGCGATACAAAACAGTGATGTGTAAACACTACAGACTAGCGACTGGTCAAGGAAATCGTGTCATCAACGTGTGAGATGTCCTATAACACAGAAAGTGCCATTTTTAAAAGCAACGTTATTTAAGGCCAACCACTACTTTACTGTAGTTACGGTACTAACTGAAAACAGCCACATCCTGAGAATCGAGGACAGCATAGCTTTGATGTCCTCCATTGTTACTGTGTTGGTTGCTGATGGTAGTGTAATGCAGTGTCTCTATGACAACCAGCTACACTGACAGGGGACCATCTGCAGTGGAAAACCAAGCATCTGGTACCAAAAGCGAGTCAAGTTGAGCCGGTACCAGGCAATGCAAAAGGGGTTTTAGTACCAGATGTCATAGATTCATTCATACAGTTTTATGCCTTAGCAGTGGTACTGACACAGTGGTCAATGAATTGTGTGTGTGTTTTGTTTGTTTATTTTTTTTCCTGTGGATTCAGCTTAAGGCTCGGGATGTGTCAGGTCAGGCTCTGAGCTTTATTCAGGACCTGGTAGCTGCTCTGTTGAACTTCCACTCCTACACAGAACAGAGAGTGCACATCTATCCCCTGGACTCCTCTATTGAGCCTGTCTCCCCTCTTAACCAGAAGGTGAGGCAGCCCTATGTAATACATATACTTTACACTGTCACAGTGGTTCTACATTTGGAGTGGTATATATTGTACAAACATAAAAGCATAATTCATTTCTTATCCCAGTTTTCCCAGTATCTACATGAGAACGCAGCATATGTGCGCCCTCTGGAGGACAGCTTTCTGCAGTTACACCAAAGCATCACAGAGGACACTGTCACAGTACTGGTGAGTGGGTAAATGACAGGAACATTGGTTTGCTTGTCTATAATTACCCAGTAATTGTATTCATCTATTTATTGAATTGAAGGAGACTGTGATCAAGCTGAAGAGCTTTGCTGATAACTTCTCCTCATACACCCACTTTCTGCAAAAGATTCTTCCCTACCAGCTGAAAAGGTCAGTGCTGTGTGTGTATGTGCGAGAGGAATGGAATGGAGTGGAGGAGGCTGTACTGATGGTTATCTTCTCTTGTCCTTCCAGCCTGGAAGAAGAGTGCGAGGCTCCTCTTTGCACTGCTGCCCTTACTGCAAAAAACCAAGAGCTGCAGAGTGACATGAAGAGAGTAACGTCTGTGTTTGAAAAACTGCAGAACTACATTAACCTCTTGGCCTTAGTCAGTAGGTTAACATTTGAGCTCTGTTTGTATGAAAATGCTGAAAACTAATGATGGGGTGTAAGGATTATTTTACATATTCATCTAAACTGTTTTTCTTGTATGTTAGTAGTGTGTGATTTATTTGTTTATTTATTTTACAAATGTGTGTAATGCGTCTCAGGTGTTCAACAGGATGCCATGCCACACAGCAGCACCTCGGCTGTCTTCACCCAGCTGGCTGCCTGCCTACACAGTCTTCACGATGCCATTAAAGGTGAGCAGCACCGTTAGCCATTTTTGACCTGCAGCCAATCACAACCAGTGCGACACAGCAGGAGGATTTCCTGTGGACACCGCCTAAGTAAAAGTCAGACTCATTTTCTGTTTTCACAACAAAACCTGCCAGTCAGTTTTTATTGTAGAGTATATATATCTGTAGGCTTCAGTGTAGAGACTGTCAGCCAAATGGAAATATAATTTGGTGCTCTGGTGGAGAAGAGTCACTTTTGTACCGACGACACATTTGGCTGAGTGGAATGTAACGTGATTATGTAAGAAGCACCTTGGTCTGTTTGTCATGGGTCTGTTGGGAACTGATTGTGGTCGAATATACACTAAAGACCTGCAGTTGTACAGTATGCTTACATTTTAAAACTAACATTTTTATGTACAGATTCCACTGTGCTTGGGAAAAATTGTTGAAATTCGTTGAAATTCTTGAAATTGTTGAAAATCTTTAGCATGTCATTTACACAGCACTTGGTAAGGGAGCGTCACAAAACAGCTGCCTTTACATATCCAGAGATGATACAACTGTGACATCTAGAGGTGAAGCTAAATAAGGGACCAAAACCCAGCATATGCTTTAAATCCCTCTCATGCTGCTCTGTTTCCTCCCTGTGTGTCCAGAGATGTCAAAGCACTACAACCAGAAGGCCGGCTTAGAGCAGGAGCTCCCTACTGCCACCCAGAAGCTCTGTACCACCACAGAGTGCCTGCTGGGCTCTCTGGGATCGCTGACAATCAGTATTGGCAAGGTATGGCCAGCAGGGGGCAGGCAGCAGCCAGGTTTATGTTCCTGTACTTCATGTTCAAGCAGTGTGTGTGTGTGTGTGTGTGTTTTTTGTTAGCTGTAATACATAAAAGCTTAGCAGTAAGTAGCAGTGAGTTTTCACTGCAACTGGATCATATTGGTAATTTGCCACCAATGTGGTAACACAGAATGGCAGGACTCAGGTGGGCAGCTGTTAAATGTTCAAAGAAAGTGTCCAAATCACAGTTTGTACAGCTGCTCCCCAAGCAGAGTAAAGCGATAAATGATTTCTCTGTGTGAATCAAGTGAGATGTGTGTGCTGATGGGAGGTACAATGCGGTGGGCTGCAGTGTTGGTTCATGATGTGTGGGGCAAGCTGCATTTTGAGAGTGATCATCACAGCATGCAAAAGCTTAATTGCTCCAACATTTATCATCCTGGATACTTGCTGGTGGAATCAACTTTGTGCTGTAAACGCACTGATTAATTTGAGGCTAAACAGAACGCTTTGTATTTGCAATTGTAGATGATAATTAGTTCCGTGCTCTTTTGTTTGATGTGACACTCAGTATCGCTGGTTTGTTACAGATCACCACTTTCTTCAGCAACAACTTGGACTTCTTCACATCATCAGGCTACAGTCCAAGAGGTAGCGCTTTAGGCCTTAACCCCTTGCAAGTGGAGAGTATGCTGGCTAACAAAAAGAAAGCAGCCGCCTATATCCATGCTATCCAAAAGGTTTGTATCTGCTTAAATCTGCTGCTTATTCCCAGATCTTGGCTAATGCCAAAGGATGACTGAACCCAGGAAGTTAAAACCCCCAGATTCTGGAACAGTCTACCTATTGCCCAATGCTTTTTCATGATTTATTTCCCCCTTGGAAAGTCCTCTGTTAAGGAACGCTATCCAAATAGTTTATTATACTTATTAAGCAAATGATTTTTTTTTTTTTACTAATAAATTGCTATGCTTCCACTGTACCTCTTTTTTTTTTATTTCATTCAGCCCAGGCCAAAGTCTGTTCCGTATAGAGAAGCTCTGACAAACCGTCGTATACTTACCAGCTCAACAGAGAGCAGGGAGGGTCTGACTCAACAGGTATGACACCCAACTCAGAAACCCTTTCCATCAGTGAATTAATTCATTTAAAATTTTGATTATGTATTTTTTTAAGAGTTTATGGTTAGCCAGGGGCTAAGGCCAGTCTGGACCATGTAACTACATCTGTGCCAGCCCTGAATTCAGTGGTGTATTACGACAGAGATAAAGTTAAAAGTGGTTCCACATGTAATTATGTGTATTGGTGCATTGTGTTCTTTGGATCACATTAAAGAAGAAACTGAGAAGCTTGGACAATTAGAAATAACAGAACAGAAGCAGTGCCTGCTGAGAAAATCCAGGGGATATGGAAAAATTGCTCAAGTACAGAAACTCTTTAACAAGTGCAGAAATCTGTGTGTAAAATTATGCATCATAGTGATGTGATACTTCATATGAGTTCCAGATAATTGCTCCCTAGGGGCAGGGTGTGAAGAATTGAGAAGCGTGACCAGTGAATCTGTGCATATTCTGTCCTGAGCAAGTTTTAAATGTCTGTTCTCTTTTGCTTTTTCTTTTGTAAATGTGTCCTTTAGGTCCTTATTAACCTACTTAAATGCACCAAGTTTTACAGCTATTATAAGTACAAAGTCATAAAATTATTGTATAAAGATAAAGCCTGTTGGGCTTTAACTAGTTGAGCCTCCATGTTTTGGAAGAAACAATGGACAGAGCACAGAATAGCTGAAGCAGTTTCATTGTTTTAAACTGACCTATAAATGATTCTTTATATATTCTGTTTGTCTTTGTGTTTTTAAAGTCCTTTTATCAGATTAGGCTTGTAAAATATTTTTAAAAATGCTCTACCAAACAATGATATTACAGACATCTTTGTTATATACTTTCCAGATTTCTTCCGGAATATTGTTACGCTTGCGCTTTTCCTAACCTTTGCTCAGCTCTCTTCCCACAAGCTCACTGTCCACTTGTCTCCCCATCGGCCTCCTGCAGGTGCAGCAGAGCCAGGAGAAGATTGCTCGTCTGGAGCAGGAGAAAGAACACTGGCTCCTGGAGGCCCAGCTGGGGAAGGTGCGGTTGGAAAAGGAGAATCAGCGCATTGCAGACCTCGAAGTGCAGCTCGCAGCAGCGCTAGGAGGAAGTTCAAACTCTCCAACGGCTACAGTCAGCACTCTCGCAGAGAGCCAAGAGGAAGCAGAGACAGAACTGACAGCTGCAGGCAAAGAGATGACGTTGTGCACCAGTCTGGTACAGTCACTCTACTGACTGTTTGTTTGTCGCTTGCGGAGGAAATTCTCTGGCTGTTGCAGTGATGTCTCATTTGTTTCAATCAAGGGAGTGTTATCGTTCTGTTTTTGCGTCTCCCCTTCTTAGCAGGTTTTTGCTTCCTAAAACTCAAACTTCCACTGAGCTGATGTAGCAGAATAGAAGAACACTGACTGCAAATTAGTGCGGTCACAACCCAGAGATTTGTGTATTAGCTTTTATTGTTGTTATCTCTTGCATGGCTAGTTTGTCCCAGCAGTGTTGGGGGCCTGTCTGTGGAAGTGGATTTTAAAACATCTGATCTGCATTGAGCTCCTAACATGTTTCTCTGTTTGCTGTTTCTAGGTTGGCATGTTGTGCACAACACCTACAGTTGCGCATGTGAGTTGTCATACTCTTAACCAATTCACATATTTAATTGAATAGTTCTCGTGTATAAAATTAATCTTTTACAATTGTAGTTGAACTTGTAATATATTCCAGAATGGGGGGAAGAACTCTTATCTATCTGGATGTTGTGTCTGTGTGTGCAGGTTGGAGACGAGGAGTCCAGGGAGCAGCTGATAAAGACTCACTACATGGCCAGAGTGGGAGAGCTCACCACACAGCTCCAGATTTCAGACAGCAAAGCTGTGCACTTTCACTCTGAGGTGAAGGTCTTACTAGAATGTTGATCACAGTATCTGCTTCTTATAGCACAGAACTGACCTTTTCATAGTGCATGACCATATCATCTGGGAAGATATGGAAACTCTTAGAAGCTCAGCTAAACTCCCAACAACGGTCATGTGTCCTCTTCCCTCGTGTCATCCTTCCTCTAATCATTCAGCTATTTATCTCTGCTTTTGTAATTTACTTGAGGATAGAAACTAAATCAGAAGTTAACCTTGTTTCTGTGTTCTTTCTGCCGGGTCCTGGTCCTTGGTTATTACCAAGTGTCACCTTTTTCTATGGAGAAACTGACACCTAGTATATTTAGTATTACAGTAAGGCTTGATCTGAATGTAGATACTTGTATAAATGACATTCTGCTGCACTGCGACTACCTGCCATGTCATCTATTCATCACTTTTTTTTTTTTTTTTTTTTTTGTATCGTAGCAGCAGAAAGGCACCTGATCTTGAATCTGTGTCTCAGCTATTAATCTGCCATTTTTTCAAACTGTGTTTGCCTTTGACACTGTCCTCAGATATACCTGTTACTCAAAGAAATATCTCCTTCTATTGCAGCTTTTCAAACAGATCTGTGAAGTGTGCTAGACATGCATTAACACTATCTGGAGGTTGTTTACTTTCCTTATTCCCTTTCTAGTGTCGAGCACTGGCGAAGCGGTTAGCCATAGCGGAAAATTCACGGGAGGCTCTGAGCGAGGAGATCAAACTGGCTAATCAGAACATCACGCGCCTGCAGGTGAAATGCAGCCTCACTACCAAAGAGCTTCCTGTCTAAGTACCGATATCAGCCTCTTCACAACACATTGTAACTGTGGTGTCTTTAATGCAGGATGAGCTGGCTACAACTAAGAGGAGCTATGAAGACCAGCTGAGCATGATGAGCGATCACCTGTGTAGTATGAATGAGACTTTGAGCAAACAAAGAGAGGAGATTGACACGCTCAAGCTGGGCAGCAAGGTATGACAACACATAGTTCTCGTCTGTGGTTTTCCCTTTTATTTATAAATAAAGCTAAAAGACCTATCACTAAAGAGAAAGGATTAAAAAAAAAAGTCCAGCAGCTTTGGGCGATGTGGACGGTGTTCTCAGGTGTGGCAGTGAAATGTAAAAGTTTCTGCCAGTTATGAGGTGAACTGGGAGGCCGTCTGTGGTGTTATGACCTAATGGGAAAAGCACCTGCTGGAGCCATCTGGGTAGGTCATTAAGTTAAAGCTGTAGAAATGGAGAGGTATCTTGTAAGTGTCATGCATGTTCCTGCATGTATGCCCACAGATGGCTGCATGTTGGGAAGTTGCAGGACAGAACACGTTCGGTGATAAGAAGGCAGTGATTTTCTCTCCAAGATCAGACACTGTTCTCAGCATGTTTTTTTTTTTTTTGTTCTGAAACAGAATGCAAAACTAATCTGAACTCTCTCCACTTACTGCATTTAAAGGAAACAGTACCTTTTAAGTTTTGGACCAATCTTGGATATGACTGAACTTGTTTGTTCGTTTTTTTCTTTCAGGGAAATGCCAAGAAGAACAAAGGTCGCTAGAGCGGCCCTCAAAACTCTGGCTCCATTTGGCAACACAAAGGGTATCTGGACTGTGGAGCCTCGCAGCAGCACCCTGGTACCAACACCACCACCACTGTCACTAAACCATAGGATGTGGCTACATGAGCCTCAGATTCCTCCACTGTCAGGAGGTGGCAGTACAAATGAACTGAACAGAGGCTTGAACACGTTTGACTGAAGAAGCTTCTTTTTCCATTTTCCTTGTTACAACACCACTTAGAACATGATTTGATAAAAATGCTTTCTGAAACTGTACCAAAAGCTGCTGCTTGACCTTCTGGCCGAAGCAGGGTGGGAGCAAAACAGGTTATTCCTAAAAGGGACAGAGGAGGTAGTATGTAATGATTGAAGGTAGTGACTGAAGTCAAGACTGGAAGACCAAACCCTGCTGATCAGTGTGTGTGTGTGCATTTCCTGCTTAATGTATGTGAGGGAAAATGAAACTGTGCATTCTTACTGCTTATATATAGGAGCAGGCAAACAGAGTAAATGCTGGCGTGGCTGTGCGTGTGTGCAGTGTTGTCTTATTGCATGACTGTGGCGGCAGACTTCACAATAGGTGAATATTGTTTTACATATAGATATTTTTAGATCAAATTTGGGGTTATTTGTGTGTGTGTCCCCATACAGCATAATAATCCTTCTAACATGCATTTATCACAAGCCTCTGTGAAGGGCTGTAAATCCTGAACGAACTACTAACAAAGACACACATTCTGGAAAAATTTCAGTCCTCTGGGAGTAGAAAAAAAAAGAAAAGATGTCTGCCTTGGAGCAGATTAACTGTGTTTACCTAGATGAAAAGGGAAGGACGGACAAGTCCGAGCTTGTAAACTGGTGTCAGTCTGTTTCTGTGAAGTTCCTCTGTAACAATAGTTGTTTTTATCACCAAAGTGAGTGTTGATGTGCGCTCAGAAGCCTGGTGTAGCAGAACTATCTAAACTCATGTTTGTAATATGTGTGGATAAAAAGGGTTCATGTGAATATACACTCATTTTTTGAAATCATGATATTATTGTACTATAATATTGTACACAAAAGCATTTATTCAGAGGTCACAGACCTCTATTTTCCATAGAATATGGAAAACTGAATCTGTAGCTAGTTTTTTTTTGTCTCCCCTATAAGGCCTGATTGCTGGGAAGTACCACAGAGGGGTTGGCATAGACTGTAACTGGTGCTTAGATGACCTGATTTATGAGTCATGGCAGAATGAAGTTAATATTTAACAGTTAAAAAAAAAAGAACTTCTTTGGCTTGTAGTGACAAGAGGTAAATGAAAGTAAAATCACAGAGATTTGCCAACGCCCCTTAAACTAATAGTCTGAGATATAATACTTGTATTCTCACAATCTAACTTTTTCAAAAGCACATATAGACGTGAAACACAATAAAGAGCTTGCTCAACATTGAAATGCGTGTATTCAGACTCCCATTATTATTAATGATCATTAAAAGCTGACCAAGTTGTGGTGCTGCATTTCTGGGAGTTGGAGGAGAAGGGATTTTAAATTTCCTGTAATTTTAGAGAAACGGCTTGTAACACACCCTTACCGTAGAGAAATGAGGCAACACCATTCAGCTGGACATTAGAACTGGAAGATTATTCAATGATGTAACTTTGTTCTGGAAGGGCAAAAAAAGTCATTTGAGTTGAATTCGTGGTGCGTTTGTGTACTCTTGATGTACTACTTCAGACAAAGTAGTTCTAACCACTGCTTGTTTATACAGCGAAGAGCTTTTGGCAAGGATTACTTAAAACACTTTATATCAGAAACGTTTTGGGCAGCTTTGGAAATGTGACCTACTAAAAGTCCATCCTTTGCTAAATCAACAAGTGCAATTCTACAATTAGATACTATACAGTATAGTGTTTGATACGCGGGCTACACAATAACTCTGAAATTGATTATACTGAGCATAATACAATTCATATGTCAAAACACTGACTTGACATATGCATCTTTTTATTTCCAACATCAGAACATACGTCACTTCTTGTGAAGTGCGCGTCCGTCTCCGGATTGTGACATTTCCTATAGCCCTGAACGAAGCACCGCTCAGTTCATTCGTGCAGTGTCCCGTCCGAGGACAGTCCGATTGAACTCGGGAGTGGAATCTGCTCCGCTAAAACTCACAGGATTTACACTCTGCCATTTTGAACAAAACCGGCCGACATCAGAGTTCACACACGTCCATCAGACAGAAGTCCTGGCCTGATTTTGTCAACTTGTACCTTTGCCTTTGTAAGTGTGTATTTCTTTTGCAGCAACACTCGCGTCTGTTTTCGAGAGAGTTCGAGGTACATTAGAAAAGAACCTAAAACTATTTTGGTAGAATGTCATTATGATTATGTTGTCAGTCGGGGCTCGAAAATGAGAGAATGGCGCATGTTATGCTCACTGAAACGTGCGCAAAGTGGAGCACGACAAAGGTAACGCAACGGTGATACCTTCATTCAGACACTGATCAAAACAATGACGCAAAAGTGAGTCCAGAAGTGGGCCTCTGTGTTCGGTGCCTGGGCCTGGCTTTGTTGTGGGTGACAGCACGCTGGTTCTGTTTTCTTTCCCCAGGCTGCGTTGCCATAGCCGACAAAAGTATTGTTTTTTTACACCGGCAGCTCGTTTGTTTATGTGGCATTGGGCCTATACTGACCCCACGCTGTAAGAATGCGCTGTAATAACAGTCTTTCAGAATGTTTCATTAAGGAGGAGACAGTTTATTTACACATGTATGTGACGTTCTTTAGAAACAAGAGATTTGGCCCTTCGCGGACATTTGTGTGTGCTATTAAAATGCAAATGTGTCCTTTTTGTAATTGAGTTCTGCAGGAATTATTACACAAGTGACAATTATGAGATGATGCTAAAACAAAGTACAACAACAGGAAGAGTGGAGAAGTCAGCAAAGTGGCTCAATAACCTCTGTTACAGCGCCATATCCAGATACGTTTGCAACCAAAAACTACCAGCAAAAGTGTGTTGAAGTGAGCATTTCAGTGTTTTATTGCTTATGAAAGCAAGAGTAGTATTATCACTTCTTTTACAAGAGAAATAGTCTCACTTTGCTCTTATTTTTCAAGAGTTTTATTAGTTTGTCCCAAAATGCCTTACTTTTTGCAAACCACCACTAGAAAAGTGTATTTTCTAAAGCTGACATAAACATCTCCCTTTCATTCCTGTTTATTTTACCCCAGTTCTGCGTTTTTTTTTTTTTATCTGGAACAAATTTCTACAGTAAAAAATGGTAGTGCTGAAATTAAAGTCCATAAATAAGATCCCACTGAGTGTGTTTTAGGTGTGAGGAGTCAAAAACAACAATTTCATCTCCTGCCTTTTTTTTATGGGAGGATAGAGCTCACTTTGCAGACAGTACCAGTGGAAATGAGTCATCACATTTTCAGCTCTGCACCAGATTACATAGTCATTATGGTCACAACAACTGTAGAACCAGTATCTCATTTAGTTTACTTGCATACGTTTCTAAGGAAAACAATATACTCTGTATTTTGAGTGTGCAGGAAATATCCAGAGAATCCAAAAGGAACATATCTTGTTTCCTCAGGAAGCATCTGTCTGCCGAGTTAAAGTTCACGTGTGTGTGTCTAATTCAGCAGTTTTACTCTTAAACCACGTTAATTTCCCCTATCAGGAAATGATCAAAACAAATATTGGTCAAGGTCATATTAGGTTGCATGCCAAGTCATAGCATTTATTTTTTCATATCCCTATTGGTTAGTTTCAGCTTGTGGTTGCTGTTCCCTATTGTTGTGTGTGTGTCTAATTCAGCAGTTTTACTCTTAAACCACGTTAATTTCCCCTATCAGGAAAAAATCAAAACAAATATTGGTCAAGGTCATATTAGGTTGCATGCCAAGTCATAGCATTTATTTTTTCATATCCCTATTGGTTAGTTTCAGCTTGTGGTTGCTGTTCCCTATTGTGGATTTCAGTTTCCAGACTCTTCACATATTAACTAAATTTTCAGGGTTTATTTTTCTTTCTATTGTAGCTTTGAGGACTCTCACATATCACAGTGCTGACTAGCCTCTTTTAAAAGTGACACATGGCTATTTGACTCATTCTGACCAAATAATTATGATTAAGTGACTTCAGACTTTTAAGTTATTCTCCATGAGGTGTGTACGCTATTTTGTTCACCCCAGCTTTAGCAACTGTAGTAATTTATTTAAGTATAGTAATGATGAGCTTACTCATGTCCTAGTGCTGCAGTTTAACTGGGAACAAACCTGTACAGTATTTGTAAGAAACTTTCAAATATTGCTTTTTAGGACTACAATTCTTCGGTTTACATTTTATGCAATTGTGACATTGAGTATTCTTAATTCCCAAGTCTTGAAATGATAATTAAAAATGTGATAAACATTGTAAAGGTAAGGCTTGTTTTATGTGTTTACAAAGTACCTAATTATTGTATAAAGCCTGCTTAGTCTCCAGGTTCCTTTTTTAGCACTGTTTTGTTAAGTTTGACAGCGATAACCAGATAATCCAGAATTTATTATCTGTAAATCTGGTGCATTTTTGAAATTTGGTAAAATGTCATTATGATAATATTTGTTGTCGGTTCACACGAGTGGAGCAGGCTGGTATTTCCTGTGTGCAAAGCTGCTTGTCCCCGAGGAATCTGTGGAATGTATTCTTTTGTCTGTAGATTTAGCAGCGTCTCGTTTCTGTACTGCCTGCTAGAGAGCCCAAGAAGAAAATGGAAAATGAGGCTGAAAGACTGTCAGTCACCCCTGTGGAGAAGTCATCCCTCTCTGTGCTCATCTCTTTGAACCGAAGCCGAGGGATTGTAAAAGTCGAAGAGGAGGGCTGAGCTTGTGGACTTGTCTATATGTCATTGCAAGCCTGCTCTCATTAGAAAGATGTTCTCCAGTGTTTGACTGAAGACGTGTCTGATTCTCTGAATCAGGGCCCCCACTTCCCTGTTTATTTATAGCTTGGAAGAACTTAGGAAGGAGGGAGACAGTAATTGAAGTGTTCTACTTTCAGCTATTTATTTTTTTTCAAGATTTGTATGAGGGATGAGGCAGACAGTGATTGAATAGCAGGAAAATTAACTGTGAGACTGCATAAAGATTACAACATGTTTACTCTGCCCATTGGCTAATGAGCCTGCATACCATAATGTTACCATCATAATGTTTTGCAGTATCTCCACACTTTTACAACCCTTACTGAAAAATGTTGTGCAAATGAGAAGATGAAACAGTGATCTTCCAGAGGCGCCTTACACGTTTAACCAGCTTTGCTTCACACAGTATCAGCTGCTGTGCCACATTACACTACCTGCTTCTCACAGTTGACTTCATGCTAGTTAATAGGGCAGGACCTTTGCTGTCATGGCTAACTTGTCTCACATGCATTTCAGTGCAGGCTTGCTCATTTCAAAGCACAGTGTATGAGCTTTCACTCCTTTTGAAAGCAGCACAATTTCCATTTCTAATTTCATTTTTCATGCCCTTTTTTTTTTCTTTTGCTTCAACAATAGGTCCAAATAGGACCTCTATACATCACAATCCTTTGAGAAACTCACTCAGTTGTCAGAATTTATGGATTTTTTTTTTTAATTATGTGGATTTTTCCAGAATGTTTTCCTGAAGACTAATTGTTGTCTTTTATATGTATCGCATGTGAAATGATCCAAATAAGGAAAAAAATATATTAGCTGCCATTTTATTGAACCATGTCACATATGATAGACACATGCATAAACTTGGTTATTACAGTCTGTATTGAATCACTGTAACTACAACAACATCAGGGAAAACAAGTGTGAGAGTTTGATTCCCTGGATTCCTATGCCATCATAGATGTATTTCATTGTGCCCTTGCAAGACATTTAATAAATGTTTTCTTTTTCTTTTTAAGATTTTTCAAAAAGTGATAAATGAATTAAAGATCTAATCTGTGGTGTCACTGATGGAAAATTTCCTTCTGCAATACTGACACAAAATTGCAGAACACTTACGTGTGCTTTACATCAGATGAGCCTTGGTTGATTGTGTTACCAGATATGAACTTGTTCCAGGTTTCCAAGGTCAGTGTTTCATTAAGTTTTAATGGAACACCTTAAGGAAATGCGTTTTATTCATACCGCCAAGAGCTCTCTTTTCTGCAGACAGGATAAGTGAACCTGTTCATGCTTTCAAATGAGAACTTATTCTGTTCAAGGCCTGTTACCTCTGGAATATCATAAGACTTATTATTTTCTGATTCTTCTAATGTGTTTTCTTACAGATGAGAAGGGTTCTGAAGTGGGAGACGAGCACCGCAACAAAGGAGGGGCTGTTGTTTTGAACCTTTCATCGGTCCTCTGCAGCCATGTGTTCTACCAATCATTCAAACTGGGTCACATTTGAAGATGACAACGCACCGCTGTCATCGCCTCGGAAACCCTTACAGTCAGAGCATATCAAAACATCGATCCCACGTCCCAATGGTCTGAAAGTACCACTTCCTCCAATAACAGACACTTCTTGGAGCTTCAGTCGTTCCCTGGAATCCCCTCAAAGCCACTTGAGTCTTAGTGGAAGTCCTTGTGAGCCATGTAACACACACTTTTACACTCCTGTGAACAGCACGTCCCCATTTCACTCCCACACATGGGGAAAAAATGACTTCTTCCAAAGTTTGTCCGGTGCATCGACCACTTCTGTTTCCCCTCCTGCACCAGAACCTCTTGATCAAACCTCAGAAGGACCAAGCCCTTTCCCCTCTTTCCAGGGAAATTCGGGACACTATAACCCTTTCTGGGATGGATCTAGACACAGCGCAGATACGGGCAGCTCATCCTCAGACTCAGAATCTAACAACAGTCTACCACGTTTCTTTATTCGGACCAAAGATGGCAGTGAACCTCCACGCAATGAACTCCAGAGCTCTATCTCTTATGTTTGCCATAAACTGCAAGGCCTACAAGCAGAACCAGACCATGAAACAGACAGCGAAAAAGACAGGGAGAGGCAGCTAAGTTGCAGAAATGAGGTGTTAAGAGAGGGTTCATCTCAGTTTGTCCCTCGGGGTCTGTTTCGTAGTCAGAAGAGAGATGGTTGGTCTGTCATGCTAAGGATTCCTGAGAAAAAGAACCGCATGTCCTCCCGACAGTGGGGGCCGATCTATCTTCGCTTGTTGCCAGGAGGTGTGTTGCAGATGTACTATGAGAAAGGGCTGGAGAAGCCATTCAAGGAGTTCCAGCTTTTCCCTCAGTGTAGGCTCTCGGATCTTAAACTGGAAAGTTACAGCGAACCCCGCAAAGTCCTCACGATCAAGGTGGAACATTTCTCCTACACAGAGAAGAAACGCTATCACCCTAAGTTGGAGGTTAGTCATGAAGCAGAGGTAGAACAGCTGCTCAAGTTTGGCTCCACAGTGCATGACGACATGGAGGACCTGGTAGTCTCCATGGAAGAGGAAATCTTCAAACTGTGTATGCCCCTCCAACTGAGGCGGCACTATGAGGAGCAGGAGCTATCCTTGCAGATTACTGATCATATCTGGGTACAACTGGATAAGAGCGGAGGAGTCATAGAGCGGGCGGCCTTCACCCAGATTCACTGTCTGGCTTTTCTGAATGGACTAGGGGATTGTTTTCTTGCCCTTAATGATATCAGGCTGCTGCACTTTGACTCTAGCTATGGGTCAGAGGAGGGCACTGAACTCTGGATGGAGATTGCTGACTGTCATTTGCACAAATGTGTGAATGAGATAGAGTTTCAGCGGTCCCGACTGATTAAGTTCTTGCCTCCTGATGCCTGCAGGGTGGAGCTGATGCGGTATAAGACGATGATTCTGGGTTACACAGCTATTCCCTTCTCAATCAAAGCTGTGGTCACAGTTCAAGGTGCCTATGTGGAACTCCAGGCCTTTCTTAACATGTCAGCCACCTTCCTTTCCTCCATGGGGGGGTCTGATACATACCCACTGTGTGAGAATGTAGTGATCCGTGTGCCAGTGCCAGGCGACTGGGTCAGAGTGACACAAACAGTGGCCTTATTGCGACAGAGGTCACTAAAGGCCAGAATGAACAGAAATACCTGCCTGGGCTCTGTCAGCGCTGCAGATTCCCAGCCTGTCATGCAGGTGTCAGTCGGCACTGTCAAATATGAGAATGTATATTCAGCCATCGTGTGGAGGATCGACAAACTCCCTGCCAAAAATACGGGTAATACATTTCTGAGTGGCTTTTAGCCCCGAACCACAGCCTAACACATAGTTTTCTCATTAGCTTCCTAGTCATGGCTTCTTGTGTGTGTGTGCACAATATGTTGGCCACTCAGTGAAACACAAATTACCTATATTTTCTCCTTTGCAGCACTAGATCAGCCCCATTCATTTTCCTGCAAGCTAGAGCTGGGGTCTGATCAGGAGATTCCAAATGACTGGTATCCTTTTGTGACGATGGAATGTGAAATTATGGGCGCAGTTGTGTCACAGACCAGGGTGAAGTCACTGGGCACAGCAAATGACATCCAGCCGCAGAAACATTTGACCAGCTGGACACGCTATCATTGTCAGGTAAGATGTTGCAGCAGCCTTAATGTAGATAGAGAAAACTGCTTTATTTTTTTAGTGCAGCTAACCTAACATTGTTTTTTTTTTTAAGGTGGAAGTGGAGAAGAAGTGGATTGAAACAGAGTCACAGAGGCAGTCTGGCTGTATGACACAGTGATGCTTAAAGAATCTCTGTAGAGAATCCCTTTGGTGCGAGATGTTTGCCAGAATTGTCTTAATGGTGAAAAGGGATTAAAAATAAGAAAAATGAGGGTGGTGAGGGACTTTCTGCTTATATCCGGTGTCAGATTCATCTAATTACAAATAACCTGGTAGTATTTCTTATAGAGGTTAACTGATTTTGTATCCTTTCAATGATACCGAATTAAGTCAAGATCTCATCAACAATTTAACATGGACTTTATGCCTAGCACTTTACATTTAATAGATTTATTAGCTGCGAGATTACAGGTTATATGTATATAAACTTGCATTTGCGGCAACTGCACTGCCCTCCAGAATGATTAGCAACCTTAATAAATGTGTGCCGAGGTTATATGAGATAAACCACCCAAGTAATGAGCAGTATTCATTGTGTTTGAGAGTAGCTAATTATCATCACATGTCTATGGTCAGGCCCTTTTGTTGCCCAGCAGCATTTAAAGTTCACATGCTTCCAAGTTGATCCATTTAAATATCAATCCTCCACATGTACTAAATCTTATGTGGCAGTGACCCAGTGATTAATTATTATTCTCTAAGACTCAAAATGTTGCCTTCTGTATGTAGGTAACCCCATGTACCAGCAAAAGGCAGACAACTCCTTGTCGAAAAGGACTAAAGTAATGCAATTATATTTGTATACAACTGGCTCAGAGGTGTGTCACATCATGCTGACTCTCACTGAGCAGCACTTGTCTGAAGTGACTTAATCACAGTTATCAGGAAGGTTTGGTTGAATGTCAGCAGTCGTTCTCAGCAATGAAACACTGATAAAGTGAGTTGGTACAGGTCATTTTTGCTGAAATTGAAAGTGCATTAGCCCAGAAAGCTACATGATAATTCCATATTGAAGAGTAGCTGTCTTGCTTTTGCCAAATACAAAGTGAAACAGCAATTGCAATTTGTAAGTAATCCAACTGGAACATGGCTGGTTAGCTATAAACTCACTGCATGTTCCATCTTTGAAGCAGATTTTGAAATAGTTGTAGTAAAGCAGCAGCTATACACAAACCGGAATACTGCTCATTAATTTTGTTGTTCACCTCAGGCTATCCTTTGACTTTGTACCAAGGTTGCATTCTGGACTGTAATTTTTATTTAAACTAAGCAAATCTTCATTATGTGATCTTTCTGCCTGGGGGTTGTGAATAGGTTGGCTCAAATAAACAATGGTGAAGCTTCATATTGAACAGCACAGACCTTCAATGAGGAATTTAATGTATAAGGTACCTGGCTTAAGCTGGATATTATGGATATCAGGAGTAAAAACTAAATTGAACCTGAATGACTCATGGTACTTTTTTCCATATGTTTGTAAGACTTTAAGTAGTGTCTGTCTCTACCACACGCTCCAGATGAAGGAGAAATAAATAGTTTCTGTTGTACTAAGAGTCCGCAAATCTACCAAATCTCTATGATTTATTAAAAATAACTTATATGCTAACCAGACTGTCCAACATACAAAATGCCAAAAGAGGTACACAAAATTTTATGTTCACTGACGGTAGCCTGCCTTATAAACAGTAAATGATGACTGTGCTTTAAATATTGTTCTGCCACAATGAAACACAAGCAGAGCATGAATGGGCAAAAAGGACATGAGCTATGCAGTCAACAACCTCTGTCAGCCATATAGGCAGATTGAATGTCAAGGCACAAGCTGTCAGTCCAATACAAACTCCATGCAGTCAGGGTATGAAGTCTTGTTTTGCACTGAAGGCTGTGCTGCAATGCTGAAATGCTTTAGAAGTGGGGCCTTCTCCATGACAGGTCTCCCACACAAAGCCTTGGCTATGGTTCCTGAAACAGAGAAACTGCATATGTTGAAACACTACAGCAATGTTTTGTGATCAATCACTGAACACAGGAGCAAAATAGTTTGAAACAGACACCTCGCCCAGTGCTGAAGTAGCACAATTTAACTCACTTTTGCCAAAGATAAAGGTTTTGCTAAAAGACTGAGAACTGACAGGCTGCTGCTCACTAAATGACATATGATTGGTAGGAAATGGTTTTTGGAAAGTACTGAACACTGTGTGATAGATTTGATAAATTCTGATAGTGCACAGGTGCAGAAGAGGGAAGTTTCCTGAAGTGAATGTGCCTTTGGGAGAAAACACTGACAGCGCACACATTCAAAACTGCATGTGCAATATGTTTTACAAAATATATTCTTAATACATGTTTCACACTGCCTTTATAGGCATGTGACTACATGATGTGTGCATGTTAAATTAAAGATGATCTATGTGTCTTGTGTTCCCTCAAATTTTTACGTTTTGTAATACCTGTCAAAGCATCAACCTGGGACATTTCACCTGTTGAAATAAACTGCTCGCTAGCTTTTGTTATTATTTGTATGTCTAGGCTTTATTTATTTATTTATCTGCAGGATTTTTTTTTTTTTACTTTTGTAGGATCCACACATGAAACACAAAAAGATGGCATTTTAACCCTTAAGCTGGGATCAACTTTTCACCTACAATGAGTACAGTTTATCAGCATATTACTCAAATTGATGGATGAATAATTTATCAAATTTAACAGTTTCTCCACTCACCATTATATGGTTAAGTAGGACAGGTTATAAATGATTTTTCTCCCTCTTGTTAGCTGTAAATGCTCATAGGGCACAGTGTTGATTCCTGCTTAAACATTGTTACTTCCATTAGCTACATTAAATCTCTGAGCAAAAAGGGATAGCATTTTAAACTTTTGAAATAAAATAGAGAAGTTTTTTTTAGATATCCAGGTTGCATAGGGGTTTAGAGAGTTGTTCTGTGATGTATGTCGGTGCCAATTTGTGCAGCTTGTACCCTAGTGTTATTTTGAGAAGAGACTTTTTTTGCTCTGTAACTGACCCTTTGATTTGTTCAGGTCAAACAGCGACGCCTATTGGCCACTAGTTGTCGAAACAGCTTCATTTGGTAACAAATAACTGTGCGATCGTTAAAGTGACCTATGGGCTTTCTGTCTGGAACACTCAGTCTTTAATCACACCTCCAAGTTGAGCTGATCATCCTCAGCATCACCCGCCGGGTCAGGTCGCAAGGGGACTATGTAACCCAAACGAGTTGTGTTTGTTTGGGATTGTTTTAGGAAGGGCGTCTCCTGTGGATTTCGATTATTGGCACCTGTGTGTGTTTTCCATCAGCTTGTTGCGAGCAAAAACCACTTTGACGTTATCGCCGTTGACCTCATGTTTCCAGTTTGGCAGAAGTCCACTGTACCTGGTCCGCACTTGTTTTGAATCATGCTGACCAACTCAGGTCCAGTGGTAAGCAGAGCTGCTTTTGTTTTGCTGACGGCAAGCATAACTGTACATGTGTGAAGTATGAATTATTCTGAGTTTTAAGCTCGTCATTGGAATAGAACGGTGCAATATAATATATGATTAATGACTTTGTTAAGCTACCTCATCCAAAAAATAGCTTGGATATTGATTTATTTAGCTTTAAATTGACTGAAATACACAGTGGGCAGTCTTGCCATAAATATATTCGAAAATGTTTGTACGTAGAAAAATACAGCTACCGATATGTAACCCAAAATAAAGAGTGACTATGTTTAGAAAATGCCTTGAGTTTGTGTATTGAGTCAACAACACAGAAAAAGAAGATTTTTGAATGGAATTTGGTGTATTGATTATAAAACCATAAACAGACTGGTTGTAATTAATCACTTCATCCTTCAGCAGCTTTTGACTTAGCTTTTGTAAATTGCAACTAAACTGCAGGCCAAACTTTACTTGTCCATTATTGATGATGTGATTGAGAGTGTGAGGGAGCTCTTCATGGATGAAGGGATTGAAGACCGTGTCCTGGATGATTTAAGACATGTGAGTTACAGTCTACATAACCCTACTTCATTTTTAAAAACCACCCCATAATGCACATCTCGACTCAAGTTGTTAGTTTGTACAGTGAGGAAATGCGCACCACACCAGGGAGACAGACTGCTGTGTCCTCTGCTGTGCAGCTTTGGGAGACAAAGATGATGCAGTCAAAAGCAATGGAAGACTTCAGGAAAAACAACCTCAACTCATCCAACTTTGTGCTCCAGCTCCCTGCCAACTACAGTCAGGCTGATCAAGACCTCCCAGGTAGCACGGCACTACTAGCAACTGAACTGCTTACCAAGAATAAAAACTAATTTTACCTGATTGTGAGATAATTAAATGTACTATAAATGAGGAAATAAAACATACCAGTGTGTGCAACGTTAACCAGACTACCTTTTCAGTTCAGACACTTTTGGTATATGTCGGTAAAGAGAACAGACTAATGTAACTGAAGTGACTGAGAGAGGACAGTCCATTCTTCTGATTTTTGTCATCTGCTCTCAGCCTCTGTTGTGATCCCTGCAAGTCAGAATATCCAAAGATTCCCTGTCAAGGCAAGTGTACGTCACATCCCCTACTCCATATACTCTTTACAGAAGGGGCACACATGGAATAATAGCTGTAATAATTCTAATAATCATATATGCAAGTGCATTTTGCATTTTTAAATGTAATCACTACCGAATATAGGAGTTTAAAGGCTGTACATTCAAAGTCAAGGTTTTGAAATTGCACCACATGAAATGATCTGGACATTTTGCAACAGGGCAATTCAAACTACATGAATTCAGCTAGATGGTTGTTAATTGCTATAAATCCAGTGGCATTTACATTTCAATATTAAGTATTCACCAGTGTTCTTTATTATTTTGCCAGCATAGTCTCATTCTGCATATCATCCCAACTTGACACCTGTGAGACAAAACTCTGGGTTAAGTCTTAACAGTCAAGAATTGTTCCTTATGCTGAGCCCAAATTGTGGTAGGTTACTGTAAATCATTACCGTTTAATATTCTGGATGACAGCTATTTTTCTTTACGCACTGTTTACTTGCAGAACATCTCAGAACCACTTACTACATTTTCTCTTCCTGCTGGGTTAGCTTACCCTGTGCAGATACCAGCAGGAGTCACTCTACAAACCGCCTCTGGTATGTAATGACTGAACCCAGTGGGTCTACAGCTGCTTGACATTTAGCCTGGCCTCACCGGTAGAAATAACTTTTCCTTCTTCTCTTTCATCTCACTAAGGCCAACTTTACAAGGTCAATGTTCCTGTTGTGGTTACTCAGGCCCCTGGAGTTCAGCAACTTGTATCCCAGCCCACACAGAAAGCCACTGAATGGAGAGAAGCTCCTGCCTCTCAGTCAGCTGCAGTCCCACCAAACACCATTCATCCTCAGGAAGTGGAGCCATCTGCTGTCACGCAGCCGCCGCAGGCCAATTTGCCACCCATCCAGGAGAACAGCCTGCCCCAGCAGCTACGAGTTCCTGATGGTGAAGCCTCGCAGCTTCAGGGGGCCCTCTGTCCACAGCCTGAGGGCACACTAGAAGAAAGGGAGCCTAGTCCACAACCTGAACCTGTGGACCTCAGTATGACCGTGTCCCCCTGCAGTCATTTATTAGACTCCCAGATCAGCACCGAGACAGCACAGTTAAAGACTAGAGACATTGATGACATCCTGAAAGAAGTGATTGAGGTGGAGCGAGAGAAAGCACAAAGAGCAAGGAACCTAGCCTCTGCAAAGACTGATGACCAGTCTGAGGCTGTTCTCGGGGTAATTGTTCTCTCTTTAAGCAAAGTTCCAGGTGAGAGGTAGATGAGGAAATCAATATAGCTCTCAGATCTGTCTGCTCTACACCACCAGTCAAAGTTTAGACACATTTTCCTATTGAGTTCAATAGGAAAGTGTGTCAAGACCTTTGTCTAATAGCATATATTTAGCTGGAGCTGACAGTGGTTTAGCCCCAACTTTATGGAAGCTCAGTACTAAAATGTTGGAGTGCCTTTTGTAATGAATCAAAAATAATGATCTTAATTTATGATTTTTATATATCTATATTTTTAAATCTAACCTTTTTATTAACCAGAGCAAAATCCCCCTGAGGTTCATAACTCTTTTTCAAGGAGGCTCTGGCAAGAGGACAGCATGACAAAGTCATGTTATTAAATCTGAGTCCTCAACATCAATTGCATTCAAATCTAAAGTGCCTGAATCAACATAAGACATTTGAGGGGTACAATCTCAAGTTACACACACACACACAAAAAGCTTGACCATAGCAGTTAGTCTCACTTCAAAATTAAATTTTTTGAATGTTATCATGGCATAACACTGCCCTGCTTTTTTAAAAAAAATCCTGCTAGCTGGACCTGGACTACAACTACAGTGACCTGTCAGAGATAGTTCAGCTGGACGGTCCTGCAGACAACTCTGACATCGAGGAGGAAGAGGAAGTTCCCTTGGAAGAGAATGATTTTCTGGGGCTAATTAACGCAGAGGCCATAAAGGCCCTGCAGGAAGGAGATGGAAGCGGTGACGGCAGCAGCATCTCCTCCGGCAGCGGCGGCGAGGAGGAAGCATATGAAATCGCTGATGTAGAGGAAGATGTGAGTGTGATATGAAATTTTCATGAGGGATAGTTGGGTTTTTGCCACCAAAACATATTTATTATTATTATTCCAAATGCACATCTTTGAGTGTGTTAACCTTCTGTTGATTAGGATCCTTTGAATTCGGGTGACGACGTGATTGAGCAGGACATCCCAGATCTCTTTGACACTGACAACGTAATCGTTTGCCAGTATGACAAAGTAAGATCATTTCATTTTTACTGGATAGACTGTTATTTGCCTCTCAACACAGCCCAGCGTTGAATACTGACTGTTAATGTTTTAAAATGTTCTTTTTGTTGCAGATTCATCGCTGCAAGAACCGCTGGAAGTTTCATTTGAAAGATGGAGTGATGTGTTACAGAGGCAGGGATTATGTGTTCTCTAAAGCTGTCGGGGAAGCTGAGTGGTAATGTGCTTTAGCTCTCTTGAACAGATCAGATAATCATGTAGAAAGAGGGGAAATGATTTAAAATGGAAAAACAAGCGGCGAATTTAGAGCTCATGGTGGTAAAGTGCCACTTTTTTCATTATGTAATTATCAGAGCAAATCAATACAACCAAATATTTACAACATTGTGTGTTAAATTTACTGAGACACACAACGTGTATTTAAGTTGTACAGTAGCTGTTAAAATGAGTTTTCTTTAATATGAAGTAAAACATTATTTGGCGTGGGGTTTTCCTTCTGTCATGACCATGTTGCTGTGGAGGTCCCTGTTGTCCTGTTTGATTTTTGCCTGTAATCGCACATCAAATACACTGAATTATACTGTTGTTCTGCATTCAGTGAACTTATCTTTGTTTCTCTGCATCCTGTTGCCTTGTCATTTCAGTTTTTATAGTGAAGTAAGGTTTTTTTTTTCTTCTTGCTATTGAAACCAAAGGGTTCCCATTGACCTACCATATACAAATTCACTTGAAAAAGGCAGTTTAGAAACTAAACTCAGTGGATTTTTGACTGTGCTTTTGACACACACACCGAGGGAGTTACTCGCAGCTTGAGAAGACCGTGGAAGGTGGCGTGACAGCTCCGGCAGCAACTTGCTGAACGAAAAAGTGATATTTCCTTGGAAAGTACAGATATTTTTGCTATCAATGTGTCAGGTTTTCATTTTCACATTAGCAATGTTGTCAAGTTAGTCGCCACTTCTCCCTGAGGAGAGAGGAATATTTCTACTACACAAAATCATGTTTTTTTTTGTGTTTCCTCAGCTACTCATGGAAAATTACAGGACAATTTTAGGTGTTCTGGTCTTTTGAAACAATTGGAAAAAGGAAAATATGGCACATGCTAATGCAAAAGGGGGAAACAAAAAAAAAATATAGCAAGAATACGTATTTGACAACATGTTTATTTTAAATTAATATATCTTCTGAAAATCGAGGGCATTTTAAACAGCAGTAATAAACCAGGCCACAGCTTTAACTAAGCGCCTGTGGCTGCTCTGGCGTGTCTGTCAGCCTTCTAATTTCAGTAAAACTCAGTAGATGGCACTAAAGTTAATCTCTGCTAAAAAGACGACTCCCGTTTGATCACATTCACTTCATTGTATTCAACCTTTATAAGAACAGAATCATTTCTACTTACTGAATAGAACTAAACATCTCTTGTTGTAACAGCTTACACAAGTGCTGTTTTACAGTGTATAGCCTGATCTTAACATGAATGACTATCAGTGATATGCTTCAGGATGGCATTGAAAATAAACTGTCCTGTTTTTTTGTTTCCCATTCTCGCTTCATCCACCTCCTACTTTGTACCATATTATCTGTGCAGAAATGGAGGCTGTAGCACCTGTTGTCTTCAGCTTGAGGTCTTTTGGTTCTGATGAAGTTCTCACTTTGTAAACTAATCTAGATCAACCAGACTATGTACAAGACTGACAATCTCTTCACCCTGACCTAAATTTTGAAGAAACACCACATTTTTGACAAGACAGCAGATACTGTCTTTGAGTTCAGCATCCTCTGTGTTCGTGGTCATGTGGTTCCCTTGTTTAGAAAGCAGCCTTTTTTCTTGATGTGATAGGCATAGAAGCTAAGGGAGTGAGGTTTTCTGGTGGGTGTTTTTTGGGCACAGGTGAGGTGTGAAGCCAGTGTCTGTGACCTGTAGAAGGCGTTGCTGGCGTGGCAGGAGCCCGCAGCGACTCAGCAACAGACACACATCCTTCCTAAAAGCTCGTGTGAAGATGGTGTACAAGAAAGGGTTGCAGAGGGAGTTGATAGGATAAAAAAGAATCAGAAGGATCTTTGAGTGAGACACAGTTATAAGGGGCATACCCAGGGCTGCGGAGATGGCGAAGAAAGAGATTGGCGCCATGCATAGAAAGTCAGTGAAAATGAGCACAGCCATACGTTTGGCAATCTTGGTGTCTCCGTGATGAGTAGAGCGCTCTGGGTTGTGGACACTGAGATATATGCAGATGTAACAGTAACAGACCACCAGGAAAGCAACAACATTGAGAATGAGCACAGACACCACGTACACCTGAGAGGCTACTGTGTCGATGTCCATGGGCAGACAGATGCTCACTTTGCTGTAACTGCTGACCCCCACAAGAGGGAGCAGGGCAACCAGCAGAGAAAAGGCCCAGCCTGCCCCCATCATGGCTGCCACATGGTGCATCCGCAGCCTCTTGTTGACATGCATGGCATTGGTGATGGTGTGCCAGCGTTCCAGGCTAATCACGGTCAGTGTATATACTGATAGCTCACTGGCAAACACTGTCAAAAACCCTGCTATGGCACATCCGGGCCCAGTCTGCCAGTCTGTGGCGTGGTTGTAGTACTCGTGACGGGAGAAGTAGTCCCTGAAGGCAATAAGCATCAGGTAGAGCCCCATGCACAGGTCTGCGAAGGCCAGATTACACATGAGAAATCTGGAGGTGGTTAGCTTATGGTGGCTAATTAGCAGGATAACCAGGACGGCTATGTTACCAGTCACAGCGAAAACTGTGATTATCCAGGTGAGACCGCGCAGGAAGGGAAAGCCCAGCAGGTCCTCACAAGGGTTAAAAGCATCCGGCTCTGGTGTGCATTTGACAAAGGGGCTGTTAAGACAATCAAATTCCAGGTCTGGATACTCAAAGTTGATGTCATTAATCAGATTCACGGCATCTGCAGTAGGCTCTCTGAAGAACACACAGATGTTAAAATTATTATAAAAATCTCACAATAATTGATCAATAAAAACTATTTGAGTGATAATAAAAACTATCTGCTTCAAGGGGAGTCGGGAGAGGGGGAGGGAACTCAGGTTTTTGAGAGCGCAGAGGAGAGCTGTTTAATATATTCTCACTTCAGAGCTGGACTACATTTAAAAAGATCAAATATTTTCATCAAAAAGATGGATTTTGCATGTGCCACAAGTCATATGAGGACACCAGTCATATCTCTGAGCCAGGGATACATTTTTCTCATTAGAATCATTAAATGCAAATACTATCGATGTGTCAGTTCTGAAAAGCATAATAGAGCTGGATGTTTCCTATTAATGATTGAATATTATCTCCAGAGAGTTCGCTGTTTTTAATGAGAACGTTAAGTGTGTTATGCAGAGTGACAGTGACAGCTCAATCATTACTCCATTAAGTGTAAATTAGAGTCCACGGTCTCACATTTTTTGTGCAATTTTAGTTATTAATGGTGAAATGAGCTGTGTCAATTCAGTATGATCATATTATTTTGCAATATTCATGGGGGCTGTCTTTTTACAAGAGCTTTAAAACTATTAAATTCACTCCTCACTCCAATAATTTTTGTACATTCCCTAAGTGGGAGGTGACATAACTTACATTTCTGTTTCACTGAGATCACAAAACTTTGTGAAGTTCTTTAAGGCGGTTTCCCTTAAAATAAAAAAACAAAGACAAAAGGTTAGACATGTCAATAAACTATAGCTAATTACCAAACTGATGATGATGATCCCTGTTTACTGGGCAGAGCTTTTGTTTTTTTATGCAGATGTGAATGGATCTGTTATGTGTCTGTGATCAGTTGTCTGTTACCTTTGTTTCCGACGCCATGTGTGGAAGGCGCAGCAGTGGCTGGGGTAGGTGAGCTCAGCCTCCAGCAGTTCAGACAGGCTCTCCAGCGGAGGGAGGCTCTTCAGGGCAAAGGCAGAGCTGGCTTTCAGAAACCTCACCTGCCTCAACCCTTTGGGGGGGAGGGAACTCAGAGCTGTGGAGGAAATGTCCCTAAATTGCACGAGCCTTAAATGTCAGTTTTTTCATATTAACCAAGCCAGTGAGTAAACCATGCTATTTTCTTAAAGCGATGGATGCTCATTCCAACAGAAATGTTTAATCACAGGATAGAAGTTGTAATTGCTGGCATTTACTAAAGTCTGAAAACATTTTATCCGAAGCAAGATAATATTCAGAATCTACTTTGTTCCCTCATTTGTTTAGATTTACTTGACATTCATATAAATACCCACTGGACCCCGTGCAACCAAACAGAAGACATTTGGCATTTCCTGCTTGTCAGTAAATACCACAGCACTAATACATAACCAAGATAAGAGGCCATTTTATATCTACGAGACAGGGTTGTTTGCACTCAAGGAGCTTGCAAGCTGTATACTCCACAGACTTGGCTATTTGCTCGCTAATCAGTATTCAGCAGTCTTGCCTGCCTTGTTGGTTGTTTACACAGACAGGCTGTCACCGCCCTAGTGTTTATACAATATAATGTTAAACATTGTTATGAATATTAATCTTGCTTCACTGCCTCCGTTCAATTATGGTCACCTTAATGCTGCTGATTTACACAAGAAAAGATAGAAATTGTACGACTGTCCTCATATTTAACTTTGCCACAGTTGTAATGCGTGCGCTACACATGAACCTTAATTTCTGGGCTAATAATGTGAAATTTCTTCTGTTACAGAAACCCGCTTTAGCACATTTTTTAGCCACCTGGGGGAAGCAGACATGTTAGCAGCTAGCACTAGCATTTATAGTTATGTTTAAGTCCATTGAGTTCACCTGTTGTTTAGCACTATTTTGCTCTTTACTGACATCTGAGAAAAATATCAGATTCTTTAACTGCTAAATGCTGCAGTGTATTCATTAGCTAGATACTAATTTTGTCTGTCAGACATTTTTCTAGAGCTTTTTCACGAGGAGCTGTGATTCTATGTGCATATGAAGATATTGATTATAGCAACTTTATAGGATCCGGATATTTGTTCCACCATAGAATTTTAAGATAGAAAATCCTGAAAAATGACATTTTTGTTAGTTTTACTGGTTCGATTACTGTCACTTACAGAGAACTTGGACCTGTGGCTCCTTCAAAAGCATCTCCTTGGATGTAACTGAGATATCTGTTGTCTCTCAAAATTCTGCAAAAGACATCAAAAACACAACAGTAACAGAGGTGACCTCCTGTTCAAACTACAGTTAACATGCAGTATAAAAGAAAATTTAACTTAATGGCCAACAATGCCCCTAACATTGTTTTCTTTTCTTGACACTGAGGATGATTATTTTTAAACTGCAGGGTTTTGCCCCCAGCCATTTTCATCAGTAGTCTACGGGGCAGAGCAAGAAAACAACCAGGCAGCCAATCTTTGCTTAGTCTCACGTAATGTTTATGTACTGGTACAGTACACTCAGTTTTTATGATTAATAAAACAACTGTCTTAAACCGGAAAAACACATACTGTATCAGTCTGCTATGCTGTCGCTAGTAGCTGAGAGGGAAAAAAATCTTGATAACCAAAATGCTTACAGTGTGTTGAGCTTGGTCCCATTGAATGCGTGAGATTTTATTTCCTTGAAGCTGTTTCTAACCAGGTTCCTGCCAAGGACACAGTGGTACAAACTTTATTTTGTTGTCAAAAGACCCTATCACCAAGGTCAGAGAACTTAACATTCAATTGCATAAATACAGTATATTAAGGCACATAATAAACCTTTGTGACCAGTGATGGCTCCTTGTGGTACTCACATGTCAACATACTCCTCTGTCATACCCTGGAAAGAATTGGCAGGAATGAAGTCAATCTTCATGTTGTCTGCTATTTCTCTGCAAACAGTGAGGATAACATTTGTCTGAGTGGTCTGGTGAAATTATCAGTTAGACTAAACTATGTTCAACATTATGTATATTAATAAAAAGAAAAGAAAAAACAGTGTGATTAACTGTGACCTAGTTGATGGAACTGTGGCATCATGACATCGATAGATAGATGTTTATTGATTTTTATTTTGGACTAAACAACTTTGGCTCAATAACACAAAGAATGTGTGGTTTTGCAACATGCAGAAAGACACTAATCCAGTTTAGAAATACATCATTTTCAACCGGATTACTTACAGGATAATATTTGGTGCCAAGGAAAAGATGGTTGTGAAGTCTGGGAAGTGTATTATCCCTGTGTTAGAGATGCTCCTGTGAAGATGAGGAGCACAGGCAGACGACTGTAGTCAGATAAGAGCCAATTAGAGTGCCCACAAAATGCCACAGAGTTGAAAAATGTCTCATTTAGTAAGAGACATTTCAGGAGGCAACTGTAAAAAACACCCCAAGTTAAATGTAATTTATTACATCATGTCATTGTGAGCTTAAATTTGGTTTAAAAAGCATGACCTCTATGTTCTTTTGCACAGAACATAAGAACAGATCTGGCGACTCAAAGACAAGACTTATTGTAGGTGCCACAATAAAACAAAGTAGGGAGGTATTACCAATAGTCCATACAGACAAGTGACTTTACAGCAACAATGTAACTGTAACTGACTTTCTCCACTAAACTTGATGTGAGTTTTAAGTAGGCTTGGCGGCAGAGGATGAACAATGACTGGTCCCCTTCCTGATAAACAGGGCTTAGACAGGTGAAAAATGATGATGTAAAATGACTTACAAGTATTCCAGCTTGGGCAGATCAGTGAAGGCCTCTTTTTCAATAACCCTCAGACTGTTGATATTCTGCACTGAACTACAGTAATACAAATGAGAAAAAATATCAGTAATGACAATGTGGTTGTAAGCGGCCGTCGACAAACACAAAAAAACCTCCGTCCTGCATCAGCTGCTCTGAAAGTCGAGGATTAAACATTGTAATTGCGAGACTAATCCTGTGAAACGTAAATGAACTGCAGAGCATATAGCAGCTGGTCAAATAAATAATTACTTTCGTAGTGTGAATCTGACGTGTGGCACGAGGCGTGTGCCACTTACATTTCAGCCAGGCTGTGGAGGGAGAGAAAGGCATGTCTCTGTATCTTCGTGATGCAGTCGCTCTGGGAAATCTCACTGTGACATAAAGAACAGCCAACAGATTAACACATTACTCTTGAAATGTCGCCGATTGAGCCTGGAAATGTGGAATTGTAGTGAAACATATGTCAAGTGCTTGTTTTGGATTTCTTCCCTTTTTTACTTTTTAATGTACCTCTTATAGAAACAGGACAGAGTTGATTGATATGGGGATACAAACCATGAGGGAAATATTAAAATACCATCACCAACAATTCATACTTCTAGGGCACTACACCCACACGCACACACACACACGTTTGAAAAAGCTACAGACATACATCACAGATGCATCTAGGCCAAGAAGACAGAGTGAAGATGTTTGAAAAGGAGGACTAAACAAAGACATTTGGAGACAAACAAAGGCAACAAGACTTCTTGATTTGTCCTTGAACACTTTGTTTTTTGATGGCTGACTTTGCCTTACCGAGGCCTTCTCCATCTTCGTTTTGTAATCATTGCTTAAGGCTCCCACTCAGCTATAATGAGCCGACACTTTTCTTAGGGTTAACGTCACTCTACTTTCAATTCAAACAATTAAATGGCTCAGTTTGTGCTGCTTATATTCTATTTTTAAATCCCCTCCTGTGATTGCATTATGTATAGTGTCATAATTACCACTTCCAGCTCATGAAAAGCTTTTTCACGTGATCATTTAGATGAAGTGGTGCCATGAGTTCTGCAGTGCTCCTCATGTCATTCTACCCGGACACATGACTGGTTAACTTACTCTGAGCTGAAAAGAAGAATGATCCGTGAACGCACATGTATTTTTGTGAGACAGCACTGGAACATGATGAACCCTTCACATGTAGCTACTTTAACTATCTGAGAGTTATAAAGCTTGTCCCTGAGGAGCTTGATTTGAAAATGGTTTCACTGCAGGATAACAAATGTCTATCTGCTCATCTGTTTGTGACACATTAATTAAATGATGAGACCCCATTTAGTGATAATTCAGGATAATATGGCTTTGGGGATGAGTATTTAGTTGCTGTAAACATGACAGAGATTAGACCTAATTAATCAGCAATTAAGACAAAGAGGTTATGTTTTTAGTACAATATTTCATTCAGCTGTAATTGGATTTAGACAAACTCATTTGGCCTGAGAACCATATGAGCCAAGCTACAGCTTGTAACATTCAGGTGGTGATATTTACAATCTTGTATTTCTTTCATTAGACTGATACTGATACATTGTTGTGTTGTGTGTGTTCTTGAGGTATAAAACAGTCTGTTGTTTTATACCTCTGAAGTCTGGGACTTTCAGGCCAGCTGGTCATGAATAGTCATAAAACTCCTTACCTATGTGAGCTTCGCTATGTCATAGCAATAGGATATACAGTAGTTTCATACATAAGAATTGGATCTGCATTAATAAATGGTGTTTCTGATTACTGAATGGGACAAATAATTAAAGGCTGCTAATATAAAATGTATTGTTAGAAGAAAACATTTGCACTAATGCATAATTTTTAAAAAAGTGCTTGTTTGAAACATGATGTCTTAAGCATGTGGGTGAAATGTTTTTTCAACCACTCACTGAATTTTAACACGGTCTTTTCCCTTTTCGAGTAAACGCTGAGGACTCAGTGTGAAAAGCCATCATGTTAGGGAGAGCACTGATATTGACATAATACCTAAAATATGACCCATATTTTGTATTTATTTCCAGGCTCCTGTTGTGAGAGTTTTTTTTTAACTGGTGCTGCAATATGCTCCTGTATATTTGGATAACGTTTCTGATTCAATATATTTTAAACAGTAGTTTTGTTTTCTAATCCAATATGGATATTATGTATACCCTGCAGAGACAGGCCAACAGGTGGTGCTACAGGGAAAGTATATTTTAACATTAACTTTGGAAGTTAATCTGCCAAGGACTTACCAGAGCAACTTTTTTTTTTCTGTTGTCCAGTGCCTTAGACTCTCTTACATTGGATTTGTTTGCCATATGATCAAACACGATATATATATTATATAATCGCTGACGATTATCTTGAATCAGTCGCATGCGTTTGAGGTTTACTTCAATGAATTCAAACTTAATAACTTGAACTTAAATGTTGAATAGTAAACATTCTCCTTTGCTCACATGCTTCATAAAGGCTGACGTGTCTCATTTTCTCAGTTTAACACATTAATTCGCCTACAGTTTCTTTGACAGTATAAGAACGAACAAGGAACTTACATAATGGTAACGCTGATCAGCTCTTTGAATGCATGAGTGGGGACTTCTTTCAAGGACAGATGAGTGAGCCTTCTGCAAGATTAGTAAGAAAAGCGGTTATTTATACAAATAGGCTAAATAATAATAAAATATTACAACAATGTCTTTCCAGGTTATCCTTCGAATTCACAATTATGATAAATAATATACTACATTCTTCCAAGATGAATGAAATTGACCAAAAAGAAAACACCCATCAAGTACCGAAAAGGACACCCCAGAGCCTCCACAGGAAGATTACGGAGGTTTTAAACTAATATCAGCTGTAAAGCTAGAAAGTTTGGTAACTTACAGTCGAGGCACGGATGTCGCTCCTGCCCTGGAGGCCAGCTCAGTGTCTCTGCTGCACTGAAAAGTGTCGGTGCTGCAGCTGCAGATGGGAGGACAGGTATAAGCCCTGCAGGAGCGCACATACAGGACAAGGGATACCGCGACCAGGAGCCAGAGCGCCCGAGGAGCCATGTGTGACACTGAGCCACTTACTGCACAATTTATAATATAAATAATATTCTCAGGTTAGGCTGGTGCGGAGAACCTAACAAGTCAGGTCAAAGGTAAAAGGCTAAACGGCGTTACGATCTTGTTTCCACCTCTGAGAGTTTCGGCATCCACTGGTGCCTTCGGGTGTTGTTGTAAGTCTGGAAGATATAAAGTGAAACGCAGGCGGACTTGTCTTTGACAGCTGAACCACAGAGATGTGACGTTAGGTGGGTGGAGATCATAAAAGCTGCTGCTAAAAGTGATGTGGTGAACTCATGCTGTCACTCATTTTTAAATCATTTGTCAAAGGCGGAGATTGGCTAACGTCTTTATATTTTTAAAAGACATTTTAAGGACCATTTCCTATTCCATGCTCTGTACATTTATCCAATGTAGGTTGCATATGTGGTCTTGTTACCATTTAAGGCACCCTTTGGTTTCCACTGACTGTGTAAAGTTTTTAAATCTATCTAGTTTAAGCGCAGATTGATCTGAAAGGTCAGCACTGCATTACCTCTCAACAATAACTTGACATGCTTTGGATAACTCATTGATTACAAATAGGAGTGCCAAGATTAAACATTAAATGACTGGAAACAGCAAGATGAGCAGCCATGGGCACTTTTAAAATGAAGGCAAAAAAAGAAAAAGCCCTTTTTTAAATAATAAATCAAGGTTGTTTGTTTAATATACAATCATGGCCAATAATATTGACATCCCCACATTTCTGTCTGATAAGGCACCAGTTCTCCCAGAAAATTCTTGCAACCACAAATTCTTTGGCATTCTCATGTTTATTTCTTTTGTTTGCATTGGAACAACAAAAAAGCAGCGATAAAGCCAAATCTGATTCATTTCACACAGAACGCCAAAAACTGACTTGACAGAATTATTGACACCTTTTTAAAATCATCAGAAATAGTTGTATTTCAAGCATGTGATGCTCCTTTAACTTGTAATGAGGGCAGCAGCGACAGAGTATCCACTATATCAGTTTCAATTCTGTGAACACCACACAGTTAGACTAATGAAATAACTGTATCTAGCTATTGTCATATTCCCAAGACATTATTGAGACATTTTTCTATTGTGATATTACAAAATTACAAATATTGTTACATCTTGATTAATTAAACATGATTTTAAATGCAGGAGGCATCATGAAACATTTCCCACTATTGTATTGCTAGATAACTGGTATATGCAGTATATTCTCCTCTTTATTCTGTTGGTTCTTTGCTGAAAAAAAACAAACACTAACACTACTTTCAAATGCACCACCAGTTATACAGACATTCACAGGAAGCACGCATATAGTGTCAGAAAAAAGGATCACATATGCAGCATAACCCACTTCTAATGAGGCTAAAAGGAAACAACAGATTGCCTTTTTAAAGTACATGTTCAAGACCAAAGGCGTAATGAGGCACCCTTAAAACTGATAAAAATCAGTCCTGTAAAATGTGTTTGTATGTTGACTCACACACTTGTAAATATTAAATCACATAGCAAGAAACGCTGAAAACCGGGACTTTCAAAATTGAAGCGTACTTATTAGTATGAGGCAGTTTGTGCAAGCCAACCTGCAAGTGGAAGAGAATCCCTATCAGTGCCTGTCTTTCTTCTGCAGCAGTACAAATTCAACACAGCCTCTTTTTTTGTGAAGTCACATGCACTTTTACAGCACTGTATGTCAAGAGACAACACAACAATGAGCTGAGGTCCCATTTACACCAGGTTGTCAAATGAAAAGCTTTGCATCACCAGTGTCTTCAACTGAATCTCCTCTGCTGTAAATGACCCTAACCCCATTTAGAGCTTTGACATCTTGCTCCGCTGCCCTGCCACCGTGACCCTTATCAACAGAGCAGCAACACCTTCTTTCACTGCTGCTGTGGAACAGCTACACACACACACACTGACATACACACACTCACACATCCTCAGGTTCCCGGAGAGATTACTGCCTAGTACTGTTTATCAAGACTCCTGCACTCCCTGCTAGCCTCTCAGCCGAGCACATTGTCAAGCTACAGTATGTTTAACCCTGCAGAAGAAGAAGAAGAAGAAGAAGAAAAACACGCTGACAGGGAGAGAGAGAGTAATTTATGCAAGTGGATGTCTGCGAATAAGCCCATATCTTCATGCTAACCACCACGCTGTGCATCATATCCCACCTAGAAGGTCACACGCAGCAGGGAGAGAAGTTCAGGAAAAACAATGCAGATACAATTTCAGAATTAGAGTAACATTACATTAAAATTTAATAATTGCTTGATGTGAAAAGTGAATGGTTGCACCTATTCTAGTAGCTGCACTGAGTCGATTGTTAAATTACTGCAGCCTTTTTAAGCATTAGTTGTGCTTTAGTAGCCTGCTTTATTGGATTTCTTAGCGTGGTTGGAATAGCTAATGCTGAAACCCCCCTTTGGATAACACACTGCAAAACTGCATTTGAAGCAGTATATTCTGATAACATGGCAGGGGTGGGGTTAGAAACTTTTTGGATAGGGGTGAGAGGAGTGTGGGGGTCAAACTGGGGCACAGCTGGATTTTGTCAACAATAAACTGCATTACTACTAGTTACATTTGTTTTGTAATTTTTTTGTCATCACGTGGTAAATTACTATGGGAGGGGGTTGTTGAGAGGGAGGCTGCTGAGCTGAGGAGGTGCCAGTGTCCCTGCAGTTTTAACACAAGGGATTGTGCTGTCTGGGGGTGAGGGGTTGCAGGGGGAGTATCACGTAGGTGTGTATGACAGATATGTGACAATTAAGTCAGACAATGCAAGTGGCCTCATCAACGTTTCCTGCTGCTAACGTACCCTGGCATCAATTTGCACCACCAGTGTGTCCACATGGATAAATAAGAAAACACCACTTAACATCCAGTAACTAACAAAAACACAGGGTGTGTAGCTATGTTTTTTACTGTGGCCCAAATTTGAGAATAAATACATGGTAACATGGTAAGCAAAGTAATATTCTTCATGTGAGCATCCGTGTTCTGTGACCATCCCTCATTACTTGATTGGTCAATGCAGCCTCTTGCTGGATGATGTTGAAATAAAAGTTGAACTGGATCCAAAAACATGCCATGAGGCCTCCAGTTATTTGGGGGCACTGTGCACAGGCTCCTAGGCTACCACAGAAAGGCTGCTGTCCATAGGTTGTATGGCTTCCTGATAGGACTGCTCCAAAACAGGATGCCCACAGAGTGTGGGTGACTTTGGGACAATTTTTAATTCATGGAGTTTATCAGGAATTTTGCTGCCAGGAAAACCAAAGTAGACACTTTTTAGTGTAAGTGGGTCTTAATTCTAACTCTTGCCTGTTGTTCTGGCAATAACACAGTATATGATCTAGGCTGTATATATGCAGGATGTGGTGCAATTTGATGTGTTGTATTGGTGTTTGCAGTGGTGAAGCTTTAGCACTATCATCGTTTGCTATTGGTGGAAAAGGATCGACAGAAAGGCCTGTGCTGTTTTGTGTCACTTTGTGGTCATTTTCTGTCCATGTTTGGTTGTTTTGTCTTGTAGTCATTTTGTCATCTCTTTGTCAGTGTTACAGTATGTATCACTCGGTGGTTGTTTCTCAACTTATAGTGGTCGTTTGTGGCCCAGTTGCGTGTCTTTGTGGCAGTCTTTTCAGCTCTTTGTTTCAGCTTTTTGCTGCAATTTTGTATCTCTCCCTGCCTCTGTTGGTACTATCCTTTAAAGTGTTGTATCCACATTGATCATGATAAATACTGGCTCAGTAAAAGTGTTTCTGACTAACAAATTAAGAATACACAAGGAACATGTTGAATATGGGCATCACCTTGCCACAGGTTTGTATACAAGAGCTGCTGGCTATCAGATATCAATATCTTTCAAGCTGCTCATTTTGGTGCAGTTTCCTTCAGGGGGCTCCAATTACCTTCTCATTCCCTAACAAGCCACACCATAGTTAAGCTGCAGAGGACTGAGATCATGTTTAGGCTGAGCAAGCTCTGAGTGTTTTACTCTTAACACTATGTCCAGAATTCTGCAAATAAACTTTTTAAAACCCACTCTTGGTGTTTGACCTTGCTACAACATACAGAGAAAACAATCTCAAAAAGCTGGTAATGATGTAAACAGTAATAATTTGTAGTCCCCATTAGTGTAAACTGGACTATTTGCTCTTTTTCAGAGCACCTGTGAGGTCAGTGTCAGTGAACATGGCACATCAGACTGTACTGTATGTGTGTTGCACCCCACGCTGCCAGCTTCACCTGCTTTGTTACTTTAAGTAGTTAAGAGCGTTCGTCTTTAGGGACAAGGGTCTTCTTACCTCTGGGTGGGAGGCTGTTGACCTGTCAGTATCCTGCTAGTTATCAGAGCACACAAAGAAAGTGTGAGGACCACAATCCAACCCCAAAATGTCATAACACAGTACAACACCACGCACAGCTCAACACTGAGCATGAAAGAACAGGGTACATTATAAAACGACACAACATGGAAGGACACAAAAGCACTGAGTCAAAACAGGCCTGCAGTCATTACTGAAGACAGTGGAAGCAGCATTTGGTGTCAAATGCTGTTTACTTGCTATACCCACATAAAATGGCATTTTTGGGGATGAGTAAACACAAATCCATGTGACATTTGAGGTAATTCACAGCAGGGGCACTAATTGTGTTCTGAGAGTCCCTTTGTTTTATTTTTCACTGCAGTAGCAGCTCAGTAGTGGAGAGTGATTTCTTTCCATCACAGCTCAACCGAAATGATTCCTCTGAGTGGGGGTTGTCCATGCAGCTTCCAGTCCTTTCTTACTCATGTGAAACAACTGTTACACAACATTGCATTTTAAGCAAACTCTTTTAAGGACAAGCATAAAAGACCTAGACTTCAATTAGGCTTGTTATTTTTTATCTTAATAATTACGCCCATGAATGTTTATTAGTGGAGGATTAGCTCTCACAACAGAATTACACTGATTACACTGAGGTCCTTTTCTTCTTTTATTAGTAGTTGTGACATGTCTCTGACTGAATAGTTTTGGAGATTTGGAAAAACCCAGTTTAAAGTCATGTGGATGAGTTCATAAAAATCTTAAATTACCACTGCAGCTGTTAATAGCTCCCTGTACTGTATGTGCTGATGTTTCTGGGCTCT